TTTCCTAGTTTCGATCCATTTGCACGACATAGATGCTAATTTAGAATACATAATGTTTTGATAGAGGCCATATTTTGGGTTTTAACTTTTGAGTTTTGGGCGGACTTAAGACCATCTCCAACCATGTTGGGGCTAAACTCAAATTTTCACCCTCCAAAATACAACTATTCATGTATTTTCAGGACTCAAATTTTTTTTCCCTCCAACCTTGCAGACTCATAATTTGAGTCCGCAACTTTATTAAATTGTTTAAGAATGATTAACCCCTAATTTTTTTTCTTGTTAATTTTTCTTGACATTATTTTTGTTTCAATACTCGTGATTTAATTTTCTAAACATTTTAACCTAAAAAAATTAAAATTCCAAAACATAATAGAATTTCACTTAAAAATAAAAACAAGTACAACACTATACGTATGCCCGTAATAATTCGAACCCTTCATTGAAGCCATTGCCATAATTTTCTTCCATTTTTACTTTTACTTTTACTTCATTGGATTCCTTTATCCTCATTCAATAATGTTATGAACTTTTGCCCACCTCCACTTGTGTTCTTCAATTATTTTATGAACTCTTTCCCATCCCCTATTGTCTTCTTTCAATTATGTTCTGAACCATTGCTCAACTTTGTCCATCTCACTTTATTGGATTCCCTTATCTCTCCATATCTTTTCCTATCTTCATTCAATTATTTTCTGAACCATTTCCCATCTTGTCTTGTGTCAATCACGTTCTGAACCATTGCTCATCTTTGTTCATCTCACTTTATTGGATTCCCTTATCTTTCCCTATCTTTTCCTATCTTCATTCAATTATTTTCAAACATGTAGGTCATCTCATTCTCTTGTCTATTTAAGAAGTGTTATTCTACTGAATTGACCACACAATCTCCTTCAATTCTCCTTCTTACAATGAATTCACTTGGGAAGGCTATACAAAATTTCTTCAATGATGATTCTGATGATGATGACCTTCATCAACAAAGGGTTGCAATGGCTGTTCAACACCACACGTTTTTGCTGGAGCAATATGCTCAACAATCCAAACATGGTGGTTCTGTTGCAGACCGTGAATACAAGAATCGGAAGAGAGAAAAACATCATAAGAGTCTCATGGAGGACTACTTCTGTGAAAGACCACTTTATCCCCTAGTGGACTTTCGCAGGCGGTTCCGCATGAGAAGAGAGCTTTTCTATCGCATCTTGAATGATGTTGTTGCACATGAGCCATACTTTACCCAGAAGATAGACGCTTGTGGACGACAAAGTCTATCCCCAAAGCAGAAGCTAACAGCCGTTTTTCGAATGCTCGGCAGACCCTACCGACGAGTACTGTAGATTGGGTGAATCTACAGCCCTTGAATGTTTGCGAAAGTTTTGCTCAGTTATTGAAGCCGTGTATGATCAATGGTATTTCCGTTCCCCAAATCCGGTTGATGCCTAAATTTAATCGATATCTGATGCAAGAACCAAGAGTGCAGCCAAAAAAGCCATTTTTTTATGCAAACTTGTCCATGTCTTTTTTAGTGAGCAATTAGATAGCAAGGCAAGAATGTATAATTTTGGTAACGGCGTTTGTTGTTTGCACTCAAGGACTTAAATGTTGGTAATAGCTCCCGATTGATTCATGTTTCAAAGTGCCTCATGAGTTTTAGTTTTAGTTTCGGAATCATAGATTAAAACGAATTACTAAGATTAATTTTAGGTAATTCAAATTATTATTTGTATTAAAAATAAATAATTTAATGCAAGAGATTTGTAGCTCAAGTGGTTGAGAGCATTTACCGTTGCACCTTAGGTTCGATTCCCCTTGGATCCTGAGCCTCTGTGCGTTTATGTTACGTACTTTTACGTGCATTTCAGAACATCTTAACCCTCTAAATAATCTAATGTTTAAAAACAACCCATGTCACAATTAAAACTTTTTTTCCCACAATTGAGACTTTAACGCCGTTTGTCTCATCTCGATATTCCACTTTCTTATTTTGTCGTTCCCCTTTAGTTTTTTTATTTTGAGTGATGCTAAATGAACCTTAAAATTAACCGAGTACACCATATGATCTAAGTACATCCTATTATTTAAATCAAAATGTAAAATTAACTAAGTACACCCTAATGAACTACCAAAAATACCTATGCTACACCCTAATACTTTTTAGACACCGAGCATGGCGGAACGGGAATAAAAGATTTTACCAAATGCAATGACCATGAGCACAATTAGAAGACCAATTTTGATGAAACTTGTCCATGTCTTTTTGAGTTAGCACTTAGTGCCTGTTTGGCATTGCTTATTTGAGGTGATAAGTGATTTTTAAAAAATTTTGGAAGGCCCAACCCGTTTGGTAAGCTGTGAGGAAATCACTTATTGTTAAAAATTGTTGTGAGAGAAAGCTATAAGGGAAAACAGCTAATGAGGTGCTTTCATTTTTTGATTATGCAGGAATCAGTTTCGAAAAGAGGCGCTGAGTTTAATGATTATGCAGCAATCATTTTCTGATTATGCGGAAATCAATACCAATAACACTTTTAACAAAAAGTTTACCAAATACCAAATTGCTTTCTCTCACAGCAAATCTGATGGCGATTATTTTCACAGCACAACAATGCCAAACTGGCCCTTAGATAACAGGAATTTATAAGATACGTATATAGTATATAGGAAATTGACTACTGCACTCAAGTACTTGAAGTTCCTGTAGGAATACGATATTTATATAGGTGAAGCAATTAGTTAAAAAACTACAAAATTAGGTAAAGTGGAGAGGGTAGGCAAAGGGCACGACTCCCTTATGGAATAACCGAAAAAAGAAGGTAAGAAATCTAAAATACATAGAAAACTGTATCTTGTCTCTTTTGAGGAGTAAGCGAAAAAATACATTTTGGTGGATTATGTTTTATGAATTTCTAAAAGAGTTATGATTCGGATCAGAGTTTGATTCCCTTCCATTGTAAAAATAAGAAATTTATTATAGAGAAAAAAAATCATGTTTTCTCTTTTGGTAAGTAAGCGAAGAATGCATCTTGTTGGATTGTGTTGCATGGATTTCTAAAGGAATTAGCTAAAAGGGTCAGAAATCTAAACCTCAGGGTCAAACCAAGTGGTGAAGGTAAGTGGCGACATGTGTTAGATCAAAAGTTTGATTCCCTCCCATTGTAACAATAAGAAATTTAATATAGAGAAAAATTCATGTTTTCTCTTTTGGTAAGTAAGCGAACAATGCATCTTGTTGGATTGTATTGTATTGATTGCTAAAGGAATTAGCTAAAAGGGTCAGAAATCTAAACCCTCGAGGTCAAACCAAGTGGTGAAGGTAAGTGGGGACATGTGTTAGATCAAAAGTTTGATTCCCTTCCATTGTAACAATAAGAAATTTAATATAGAGAAAAAAAATCATGTTTTCTCTTTTGGTAAGTAAGCGAAAAATGCATCTTGTTGGATTGTGTTGTACGGATTGCTAAATTAGCTAAAAGGGTCAGAAATCTAAAACTCTGGGTCAAAACAAGTGGTGAAGGTAAGTGGCGACATGTGTTAGATCAAAAGTTTTATTCCCTTCAATTGTCATTTAAAAAAAATAAACTATTTGATACAATTGATATTAAGGGAGGGGGAATCAAACCTGGGACCTCGAGTGGGGTAAAGCTCTTAACCATTTGAGCTACAAACCCTTGCAAAAAAGAAGAAAAAGAAAGCATCTTTCATCTTTTGGTAAGTAAGCTGAACTGCATTTGTACCAACATTAGTTACACCATGTTCGAGTCTAATGGATTGCCAAATCTCCCTCAAAATTAGGGATGACAATGGGTCGAATCAGGGGTGGGTATGGGTATGACATTCCCATCCCTATCCCTATTAAGCTTTTCTCCCCCATCCCCGCCTTCATACCCGCAATATTCATATCGGGGATTCCCCATCCCCACCTTCGTTGGGGAATGGGTTCCCCGACCCTCCCCATTACGGAAGAAAAAATCAATATATAACTACTTTGTTGAAAAAAAAAAAACTAATTCAAGATAATAAATATATATAATATATACTTATAAGACAATATAAGAATGTTTATATAAATAAGTAGTGTGGCTTAAAATTTGTATAAATTATATAAGTATATAATATAATAATATAAAATATAAAACTTAGTCGGTACAATCACTTTAGTAGCATATTTATATATGGCAATATATATATATACCTCATCAAAAAATTAATATATATTCTAAATGGGGAGGGTTCGGGTTGGGGATTAAAATACCATCCCCGTCCCTCCCCAAACACCATACTTAAAAAATTCCCCATACCCGATTTTTGTCCTTCATACCTGACTCATTAGGGTCGAATCCCCGCGAAGACCCTTACCCGCAAGGAAAATTGTCATCCCTACTCAAAATAAACTGTGTTTTTATCTTTTTCATCCTATTTTCAAATCTGTCGACTTAGGCCCAGGATGAAGGTTAAAGTATCATATTTCTGAAAATAAACTAAAAAATTACGAACATCTTGTACGACTACTAATGTAAGCAAACGATGCACGTATATATGGGAGAAGAAGTTGTAGCAGGATCATAGAAGTTGTGTGTTTTGCTTGAGAGTTAATGCAGAGCTTTTATTTATAATCAATATATATATCTGTTTGGTTTACAATTTGATTGCACTAACATCTTCATTAACATGTCATATGTCATGTAAAGTGCGCCTGAAATTAGAGTTGATGCTGCTGATGGGTCAATGGAGAAGCATTCTTGAAACTTCTTACAAGCTGGACCAGGAATGATTAGTGTTTACTGTTTGCACTGAACTACTTGATTTGAAACCCCACAACATATATTTATATAGGTGAATCAGTTAGCTAAAGAGGGTAAACAATTTACTACAGTGAAAAATGCATCTCGTTTTTTGGCTAAGCAAGTAAAAACTGCATATTGATGGATTATGTTGTAGCTACACTACATTAGTTACACCTGTCTGCCTTGGAATGGATGAAATGTGTGGCCTTCAAAAGTTGTAAAATGATGACTTTCCTTTTCTTAAAAAGTTTGCAAATAGTTTTCTGCACAGGTAATGAAAGATTGAAAGTTCGAAGATTCTCTCATAGAGACTCTGAAACTTGTCTTGAAGAAATTTGGTACCAACCTCTTTCTATCTCACCATATAAAGGGTGAACAATGGAAGAAATACAAGCATCACCTGTACACACTTATTTGAGTACAGCAAACAAACTCTTAGTCCTCTACATTAATCGGAGTATCATCCTCCAAATTCCCAGGCGAGGGTGTCTCCGGAAAGAATTCTTCATTTGGATACATCTTCTGGAAAAGCTGTCAAGTTCAAGCATTAACACCAAAATTCATAAGGGTGAATATTGAGCCATGTATTGTAACAAGAAATGAAGCATTATGAACAAAATATGATGCCAATAAAAAGATGATCATACCACCACAGCTGCATCTAACAGACCATCGTAGCTGAGATTTCCATCTGGCATGGGAGTTGAAATGAGATGTTCATGTTGCTCCTGAAATCGATGTAAACCAGAAAACAAAAACAAAAATCATCATAGATGGACATCAAAAGGGAGGGATGAGTAAAAAAGCAGTCAAAAAATGCATGTATAATCAATGCAAGAAAATTATTGAGAAACAAAATAGAGTGCAAAAAAAATTATAGCCAACATGAGTGGCACACCATAGACAGCTCCTGAATATACAATGTGCTCCAAAGTAAGTTGGGTTTCACTTTTACTTGTGCATCTTCACTTTCAACTGTGGAACCATTTTCAGGATTTCCAGGACCAGGAAGTGTGAGAAGAGAATTCATGGCCGCATGTAGCAACCTTTTCCCTTGTTCCGCACAATTACATAAAGCAGAAAAATACAACACAAACCTGAAGATAACAAGGTAAACAAGATCAAAATTTAACAGCTTCTTCAAGAGAGTGAGGGCAACTTATCTCTTGAGCATAATTTTTTTATATTTAGCATAAACATACATGCCCTTTGGACAAACATCCGCTTCCGAACTGCCACCTTCTGTCTGGATAACCCGGAGTGTGCCATCAACAGACATGCCCTTTGGACAAGCATCCATTCCCGAACCGCCGGCTATTTGGATAACCCGGATTAAGGTATCCTGTTCAGGGTACAAAGCTAGGGAGGAAAAGAAAGCAAAGGAAATGATTACTTTTTATTATTATTATTTTCTCAACAAAGTACAGTAGCATAACCTAAATTAAGTCTTACTTCTAGGAGGATATACAAGCAAACAGTTTGATGTTTTTGGCTTCACAGAACTGGCTGTGATGCATATTCCCCTTGCCACCTTTCCTTTAGTATCTTTAAGACTTAAACCTTGAAGGCCTTCTCTCAGACAGTCTGGTGGAGATGGAGCTGGTGCCAATGGGACGGTGAAGGCTGGATTCAAAACTAGCTGATGACTAAACAAATTCTGACCTGAAGCTAATCTAACACCCTTATATTTCCCACTATCCTGCAAAATTCTCAAGCCAATTTACATATGTGAATTAGTTTGCAACTTTCAGGAACCATATGTTAGTTTATCGATAAGTAGGTTCACTCTTATACCTTGTCCATAAGCACAGCAGTCACTGGCCCGCATAGCCTGCATGATAGAATTTTCAAGAGAACAAAGAAAAAGTGGTTAGCAAAACCTAAAAAATTGGCCCAAAATAAATAAGTAAACAATAAATGGTACACGTGTGCAAAGAAGTATGTACAGGCCAGCAATGGTGTAGGATGTTTTTCCTTGAAAAACAAGAAACAGATACTTCTACTTGAACTTACACAAATGCAACCTTTAACAGCCGCACGACGGCCAAAGAAAGCTAATAAATCCCCATGACCATACTTAGGATAAATCCAAGGGCCAGGACCATTTTCAGACCTTGTGAGAAGAAGAACAAGCACAATGAAGAACATCACCACAACAATAATACATAAAATCTGAAAATTCATTAGATAAACTGTAATTACTGAGCAGAAAACAGAGAGGAGAAAACTAACTAACTAACCTCGATTTGTCGTAAAGTGCTAAACACTCTATCCCAGCTCTTGTCTTCAGATTACTTTTACAAACTTCCAAGTTGAAATTTTCTTCATCATAATCTACCATGGCAATGTACAGAATAAACCTATTTTACAGAGCAAAAAATGACACCAAGTTCAAGTTTTTGTCAGCACATTCCAATTTCCAAATAAAAAAAACATTAGCAGCAGAACATCTAATCCAAAGCAAATAAAGAAATAAAAAACTCAATAGAAAAAAAAATTTAAGTGATCAATGTGTACATACGACTTAATCTTGGCTGACAACTGCATTCCATCTAAGAAATCAACAAAAGGGCTCTCCAAATCCTCCTCCGAAATCTTGAAAGTTTCACTAAAAATTTGGCTCCATTCTTCGTCTTGCTGCTGAACAAGCTTGATGAAACTCCTCAACTTGGACTTCTCTACAAGCTTTAGGCTCTCGTCCACAAATACTTCTCCTTTTGAATATGGAAAGATATGTAACTTCCCATTGCTCTCATAAAAAACGCAAACTCCATCGATGCGTTTGAATTTCAAGATCCCATTTTCCACATATAGGTCGACACCGGATTTGATAATAAAGTCAGTGGCTTTGTCACCATGGAACAAAAGCCTGGGCCCGCCAAGGTCGATGTTGAATTTATCCGCAGAAGGGATTTCAGGGGCATAGTTGGTAGTTTCAATGTCGGAGTATAGCAGCCGTGGGATGAGCTCTAAGGCCACAAAATCATGGTGATCATGAGCATGGCCGCTGCAAGTAGGGTTTTTAGCAGTAAAATGGGAATTTAGGAAGGAGGTGAATTGTTGGAGGGGAAGAGAGGCAAAGTGGCTGCCGTTAAAGTCGTTGGGGTCAATTTGGAGGACAGTTTTTCCGGCAGCAGTGGCTGCGGCGGCAATGACTGTTTCAGGGAGGCCTGTTCCGATCACAATAAGATCATACGTTGTGGGTTCGATTGGATAGTCTGAACTCATGGCTGCTTTGCAGAGCAAACGTTTGACGTGCGAGACAGGACAGAGAGAAACGTACCAACAAAATAAACGAAACGAACCGAGAAACTTGCAGTTTGCTTGGACTCACAACTTGGTGCTGGGAGATTGAAGGAGAGAGAGAGAGAGAGAGCGCGGGAGGGTGAAGAAGAAGAAAGGCACGCGCTTTGCTTCTAAAACAGAGCAATTAATTTGAAGTATAGGATTTGGGAAATATTTTCCAATTAAATATTTTCCGCGAACCAAATGAACCTTTAATGGCTTTTTCTTTTCTTTTATTCCTTCAGTGGTCCAATATTTTTGCACGTGACCATGGACAGGGGTCACGTGACCAAATAGGAACCGAACAAAAAAGCCATGGCTTCAAAGACAATTACTGTCTAAAGTCCAAGTTGGTGGTCACTGTCTAAAGTGATGATCTTTGATCAACCAAAGAGTAATAAACTAGAAAACGACAACTTTTACTTCATTACAATACGACTACAGAGCCCCCAAGTTCATATTTTTATCTTCCACATCCCTTTACTCTTTGTTTTCTGCATATTTCTGCCCAATTCTCAGTTTCATATTATTTGTTGGTTTTGATTTGAAGGGAAGTACCCAAAACAAAAAATATGGGCAGGGAAAGCATAGAAGAAGGAAAATTATCAAATCCTCTGCTTGTCAAAAACATTGATCCTAAATCTCAAGTCTATGGCTATGGTGGTAGAGGTGAAAACAGTGGTGCAGGTAATGAACAACAAAGTGAAACTTTCTCATCGTCGGCCACGACCATGGTTGTGCTCAGCACTCTGGTTGCTGTGTCTGGTTCCTATGTTTTTGGGTCTGCGGTAAGTTTGAGTTTTGTGTCTGATCTGATGATATGCGCGCTCTGTTTGGACCCTGTTTCAACACTAAAATTTTGTTGTAGTGGCATGGGATCAAATGGTCGTTGGTGTGTCTTTGAAATATTTCTAGCCGTTTGATTGGTTTACTAACGGACTGAGCCATTGCCACGTGTATGATTGTTTTACAGGTGGGATATTCCTCACCAGCTCGGTCTGGGGTCATGGATGATTTGGGCCTCACTGTGGCTGAGGTTTGTATAGATTTTTAGAAAATTTGCCCCCTTTGTTTCTTTCTTTCTCTTGTTTGGTGATAATGTATCCCCAATCCCTGCTATCTTATGTTTGCTCATCTTATAATGTTATGTAGCCTATTACATAAATGGCAGCAAATAGGAAGGGAACATGCATGTATGTATATACATCAATGTAGTTATGTATATGTCTTCTTCATACTTCAACTTATGGGCACTAGCCATTTTGCAGTACTCGGTTTTTGGTTCAATATTGACAATTGGAGCAATGATAGGAGCAGTAGTGAGTGGGAGAATAGCAGATTACATAGGTAGAAGAGGTGTAAGTTTCTGCCATTACCCTTTTGTTATTTCTATAAATTTTCTAATATTTTAACTCCAAACCAACTACTGATCTCTTCAATTTTGCTCAATTCGGGTTGTTTTGGGAGGCAGGCAATGGCCATTTCTGAGATATTCTGCATATTGGGATGGCTAGCCATAGCTTTCTCTAAGGTTTTTCCATGGTTTCTCTCTTTAGTTGCTCTTTATATTCAAAAGAGTGGAATTCTTGGTTTCAGCTCATGTTTTCAACTTTTATTCTTCTTCACAGGTTGCTTGGTGGGCTGAGCTTGGAAGACTGTTGGTAGGATGTGGAATGGGACTTCTTTCTTATGTGGTAATTTTTGTTAGGAATGTATGCAACTCATAAGAGATTGTTATTAAAGTTCCAGGTAAAAGTTTTTATGTTTCAATAACAAACAGGTGCCTATATACATAGCAGAAATAACACCAAAGAATCTGCGAGGAGGATTTACAACAGTTCATCAGGTAAGCATAAGCATCATGATTCACAAATTTGGAAACCATTAGATATATTCACTCATTGCTTACTATTTCTCACTGATTTTGCAGTTGATGATTTGTTGTGGTGTGTCACTAACGTATCTTATCGGGGCTTTTTTGAACTGGCGAGCTTTGGCTCTCATAGGTAACTTGCTCTTCCTCAATGATTTAAAAATGACTCTATACCAGTGAGATACCACACAAAAAAATCTACCTGCCAATGGATTTAAAAAGAAAACCAGGAGAAATATAAACAGAAGTATTTGACAGTGGTTTCTTTTGTCCAAAATTCAGGAACTGTTCCTTGTGTTATACAGATCTTAGGTCTATTCTTCATCCCAGAGTCTCCTAGATGGCTGGTGAGTCATGTAGTTAATTATATCAACATGGTTTCCCCAATAATGTCAACATTTGTCCTTTGATATGGAGAACTGGAGGAACTTTTGACATGCTTGATTGTGAGCCCATTATCAGGCAAAGATTGGTCAAGAGAAAAAGTGTGAAGATGCTCTCCAGAACCTTAGGGGGAAGAATGCTGATATTTCTCAAGAAAAATCTGAGATTAGAGTAAGTTTTGAATTACAACAGTAAATTAATGACACAGTAACTCTTCTGCTTCTGCTGGAAATGACCAGTACTTTGAGTAGTTCTAGGATGAAAAAAAGGACTAATATATGTTTGTATTCTCTTATAGGACTATACAGAAACTCTGAAGCGGCTTTCAGAAGCAAGCATTCTTGACTTATTTCAAAGAAGATATGCGTATTCCCTCATAGTGAGCTTTTAAATCAGTCCCTTCTGTGACATTCTGCCTTTCTGTTTTTATTGTTGTATCATAACTTATAATTGTGTTAGGTAGGAGTTGGCCTTATGGTACTGCAACAATTCGGAGGGGTTAATGGCATTGCCTTTTATGCTAGTACTATATTCATTTCAGCTGGTAAGTGAAAGGCCTTTTTAGATCTTCTTTCATTTATCTAACAAGAGCCAAAAGAAAGCAGATGATGAACGAAATGAATCTATGGCTTATGACAGGATTTTCAGATAGTATCGGGACTATAGCTATGGTTGCTGTTCAGGTGCTTGATGCTCTCAGTGTAATTCCAATTTGGCTTCTGTTTATTTCTTCCTACTCATTGTAGTTCTAATTTCTCTTCCGCAGATTCCAATGACCGGTTTGGGTGTAATTTTGATGGATAAATCTGGAAGACGTCCACTTCTTCTGGTAAGAACAAAGAAGAGTGAGAATTCTGGTCTATGTAGTGATAATAATACTAAATGAAAATCTAGTACTGAAGTCTGATAATTCTTACAGGTATCTTCAACAGGAACATGCTTAGGTTGCCTCCTTGTGGGGTTGTCATTCTTGTTGCAGGTTCCGTCTAGAGCACGATCTAGTCCTCTTTCAATTTTATTGTAATTTTTAATTGTTTCTTGAGAGAACCAAGTCTACCATGTGTAGAACCTTCAACAATGGAAGCAGGTCACTCCCATCTTGGCACTTGTTGGCATACTGGTAATGCAACTTGACTTGAATCTCAAAAGTTGTTTTTCTCCAATTTTCTTTTTGCAATGTGCCAATAGACCTAAAGTATTGCTCAACCTCTTTGAAACCCATAATCAGGTATTTACAGGATCGTTCTCATTGGGCATGGGAGGAATTCCTTGGGTTATAATGTCAGAGGTAGGTTATAGTTCACAAGCATGATCTCCACAATTTTAACAGAAACATTATAAGCTAATTTCTGTCATTGCATACATGTGTCATCTTCTCTAAATGTTGACTTCTATTTCAGATATTTCCCATAAACATGAAGGGCTCAGCTGGTAGCCTAGTAACATTGGTTAGCTGGTTAGGTTCTTGGATTGTCTCATATGCTTTTAATTTCCTAATGGATTGGAACTCAGCAGGTAATGCCACAAAGTTTTCTCTTCCTAATTCTGTCTGGACTGGAATGAGAGAGACACTCTCACACATTTCATCTTATTTCCCTCTTCCAGGAACTTTCTTCATGTTTTCATGCATATCTGGTGTAACCATTCTATTTGTTGCAAAGCTGGTACCAGAGACAAAGGGGCGAACACTAGAAGAAATACAAACATCGATGAATCAGTTTTCAGAAAAAAGATAAATGGTATGCCTGCATCATGACATTGTCAATCCATTTCAGGTGTCATTTGCAGCATGATGAAGTATGTTCTGAATTGCAGCCAAATTTTGCAATTCAAAGTTTCCCTGTAGCTTTGGTCCATCAGACAGTTAATTATCACACAATCTCTCTTTGTATTTAGCCTGTTGTTGATGATCAGCACCTTAGACCAATTGTGTATTTCATTTGCTCCACAGGAGTGCTGTTGGTACGGCACGAAGGAGAAGCATCTCCTAAATGTTTGATGATGTAGTTCTAACTCCTGAAGATTAGCAATAAGACATTAAAGTTTATTGTTGGTTGATTGTTTAGGTTTGTGACCGCTTTGCCTTTGTGGTTGTGTGGTCCTTAAAGTTTCTGAGAACAGGAACATAAAAGCTTTTCATTACCGCAAGCTAAGGAGACATGACTTGAATCATCAATGTCTAAGATGGAAAGGGAAAAAAGAATTGCATGATATACACAACGAGAGAGTCATCTGTGAAAGCTTTTTCTGTTGCAACGAAGTTAGGTTACAGCATCTAAGACGGTCCACAACTTTTGAAAGATGAGAAACTAGCTAGCAAATGAATTACTTTTCCTGAATCTCTGGGCATATTAGGTAACATATGCAATACATAAATCCCATGTTCTCATGTTTCTTATGGCACGGAAATTAGGCCATTGTTGTAGTCCCTGACGCTATCCCTCTCCCAAGGCACAACCTACATGATTTATATGCATTAATATTCTTAGGTAAGCCACCTAAACTCCAGTGTCCTAATTTCCTATATAAAGGAGTACCCTGTATCAGCTCCAACACAAAGCCAATTAATATAAACATTAAACAAACTGTCTTCTTCTTTCTCTCCATGGCTGAATTACCATATCCCGAACAACCATGCCCACCATTGTCCCCTCCCGCGATGGTCAAACGTGGCTCAAACCACCCTGTCCACCAGACCTTAGCCAGTGCAGCCAATCTTGCTAACCTTCTACCTACCGGCACAGTCCTTGCCTTTCAGACCCTCACTCCTACTTTCTCCAACAATGGGTCCTGCCAACTTTCCAATAAGTTCCTTACAGCATCTGTCATTATATTTTGTGCTCTCCTTTGTTTCTTATCTTCATTTACGGATAGCTTCAAGGACAATGATACTGATGGGAAACTCTATTATGGCATCGCCACATTCAAAGGCCTCTACATCTTTAACTGCAGTAAACTTGAGAACATTAACAGAGACTTGGAAAAGTATAAGATCAAGTTCTTAGATTTTGTTCACGCCTTTATGTCACTCTTCGTGTTCTTGATCTTTGCTCTTAGCAACTCCCATGTGGAAAGCTGCTTCTTATCTGGCGTGGGAATAAACTACAGTGAGTTAGCAATGAATTTGCCACTAGGGGCTGGGATTTTATCAAGCTTCTTCTTCACAATCTTTCCAACTGCTCGTAGAGGGATCGGATACACAGACATGGTGCCCCGAGCATAATATATAGTAGCTTTTGTAAAACATAAATTATGCAGATGTGCATTCCAAAGAAAACAAAATTATGCAGATTTGGCTGGTGATATGAACTCCTTATACTGCAAATTATGTTTACTGTTCATAATTAGGGAACTTATTTTACAATTTGAGAACAGAGAAAAGATTTTAGGACTGAAAATAGCTTTATTATTACCTTTCAATTTCAAGGCCAACCACAAAAACATAGAATTTAAGCTCTCCACAACCATCACTATAACTAGTAAAAACCAGTCATCAACTTAACATGTTTTAATCAGTGAAATTAGAAACGGTGGCATGGGGCTCACATGCCTTAGCAGCTGCAGTGGGCACAACATCAGGGCTAGGCTCCACATGTTTCCCAAGAAGCTCTTCAGGCAAGTCCTTGATACCCTTTAGATAAAAGGTGTACAATATTTTGAGAGGATGACACACAAGCTGGTGCAACTTCACTTGACCATACACACCTTCAAAACTTCCAGACCCACCAGTCACAGCCAAATAAGAGTCCTCATAAGTCAAATAGGCTCCCTGCACAGATATGTGACCATAGTCTCCGAAGTAGAAGCTGTAAGCAACCTCATATCGGTCACCGTTATTTTCTGGTTTGTTTTGGATCAAAGTGGATATCCCTGCTGTAATTCCAATGCGCTTCTGCAAATCACCAGTGTACAATCTGTTAGTGAAGGGGACGAGATCACCGAGTCTGTTGACTTCTTTCTGACTCAACCTCAAGTAAGCTAGGCTTGCACGGTCAAGCTCATTGATCTCACAGACATGAAGGACTTGTGGAGCTACGTCCGTGGGTGCTGTTTGTTAAATTCAGAGAAACAGGCCAACGGCCCACTACTAACAACACCGATATTGTCTCTAATTTAACCGCCTATAAATCCTAGTAGGTGTGAGGTTTTATCACAAAAGGCCTCGGTGATATTAGTAGTGGAACCATTCATTATATCTTGTATTTTATTTAGTCAAGTTTCCGATGTAGGACTTATATTCTTGAACACTGTTTGCTCAGAGGAAGATGATGGGTGGGCTTAGATTCTGCAAGTGAACAATGGGGATGTTTTGGTAGATGGAAAGTAGTTGAAATGAGAGGTGGCAGTGTGGAGTTTGAGATCAGATGGATTTTGGAGCTTGAAGGGTAGGAATGGCTTACTGGCAATGGACGGCAGCAGCCTTGGGTTGGCAAGTTTCACAAAGGAGGGGGTGAAGCTGAGGGAAGAGGTTGAAAAAGCCATTGATTGATCAAACTTATGAATTCTTTTTCTATGTAGTAATTGGTAGCAGAGAAAATGATGGTGAAAAGTGCATGGAAGAGATTGCGTTTATATAGAGTAGAATGATGAAGAAGATAAGTGATGATTCAATATGGCATTTAAGGTGAAAGGGTGTGGAGATTGTGAACGACGGACTCGTTGTATTTCCCTTTCCAAGTTACATCAATATTCATTGATTACAAATTACAATGCGATAAATGAATCAATTTCTTTGATTTTTCAACTTCAGTACTGCATTTAGAGAATTTCATAATTTCTACATTCCCCTCATAAAATTAGGGGACCATTTCGGTCAATAACCCTCCCAAAATTATACCAAGATCCAAAAACGTACAAATCATTATCCATGGAACATGTGGGTGCTTATAACTTTGGCTAGAGACCATATAATCTTACACTTGCGATAAAAGTTGGAGTCTCATTTTGTTGTTAGTCGCTCTCCAACAAAAACTAAAAAGTTGTAATCAAAGTATTTGTATTTGGCACCGATGCATATACCTTTGAAGATATTTTTTGTATGCTCATTACCTTTTTGGATATTTAAATTTGGAAATGGGACCTTGGTACGAACCCTTTTTCGGAATTCATGTCAATGTCACATTCGGTGGTAAGAGGATGACCCTGCCCATTGAAAATTGGCAATGGAGTTGTGCAACTTTATTATGCCAAGCCAAAATAACTCTACATTTTAAAAGAGTGAATGCAATGCAATTGACTATTTTCATGTTATATATACATGTGAATACGTGGGTTGTCTAAGTGCCCATTTGGTATTGCTTATTTGGGGTGATAAGTGATTTTTAAAAAATTTTGGGAAGTCCAGCCCGTTTGGTAAACTATGAGAAAATCACTTATTGTTTAAAATTGATGTGAGAGAAAGCTATAAGGGAAGCAGCTAATGAGGGGCTTTCATTTTCTTATTATGCATGCATTAGTTTTGAAGAGGCGCTGGGTTTAATGATTATGTTGCAATCTTTTTTTGATTATGCGGAAATTAGTACCAATAACACTTTTAACAAAAAGTATACCAAACGCTAGACTACTTTCTCTTACAGTTGATTTCTATCACAGCAAATCTGACAGCAATTATTTTTACAGCACAACAATGCCAAACTGAGAGGAAGAGTCAGTGAAACAAATAAAAAAAGGAAGAAAAAAAAAAACTTGTGTCATTTTTTAAAGAGGCCACATCATTGTTGAGGAGGAATGGCTCCTGATGCTTGGCATTGTCCTTAACAAAATCAACCAAAGATTCTTCAATATGCATGTTTCTAAGAGTATCCTTATCAAGTCACCAAAGTTCAAATCAACAAGGTCCACCCCCCGACATCGTACGCACGCGGATGGAGTAAAACCACTTCGATCAACCTTACTATGTACTATGCTATAATCTATATTGTTTCCATCTTTTTGCACCCGAATTCGATTTCTCTCTATTCATCAAAGTAGCCTAGAATATCAACTTATCAAAAGAAAAAATGTATTGTAACAAAAACAATGCTTATTAGTTGCTAATTAAGCAACTAATAATGTCGTAGAATCTTGCACGTACACGGTACACTATTATTGTGAACTTGTTTCGTAGATTTTCATGGGAACCGTTTTGGGTTGTGAGATATCACATCAAATTATGCATCCAAGGGAAAATGAAAGTAGTGAAGGTCAGAGCCCCAGGCAGGCCCCCAGCTGCAAATGCCAGTGGCAGTGCCAGGTAACACAACCATAGCCTTGCCACCCTAAATAACTAATCTGAGACATTTATACATCTGTCCCTCACTTTAAAGTTTAAAGGGCTCGCTGAGTTGACCTAAAGTCAAACACACAAACACACAAAAATAAGTGTTGGTGACTGGTGATGATAGGATTGCGTTATGGAAAGAATAGTGGAAGAAAAAGGCAGATGTGAGCGAAGCCGAAGTCTGAGGCCATCTTACGTGGGACCCGGCTTACTTTCCTCCTCATTTCCCATCTATCTATCTCTCATCTCACTTTAGAACTAGCTCGCTAGAGGCTAGAGCTCCTCTTTTTTTTTTCTTTTATCTGTCCTGAATTACAATTTCTTTTCTTTTCTTTTGTCACGCTGGCACTCTCTTCACCATTCCCACTACGTATCCACTGCTCTCTCTCTCTCTCCCTCTCACACATTTGGCTCCTATATGCATATCTATCTTTGGCGTGAGGTCTCTATTATTAATACCATTCTCACTCCTCTCTCTCCTTACCCAATTTTTTTCCCCTTCCCTTCCCTTAACAAAAACCCAACATTTTCATGACCCCATTTTTCTTCTCACTATTATCCTTCATCCCCTTCTTCTTCACTTTCTCTCTGCTATATTATAATAAGAAGTTCCCTTGTTATTCTTATAATAACACTGTTTTTCCAATTATGATGATGAGCTTTTGTAGAAAGATCGCCCCTCACTCTTTCCTCGGCCTCACCTCAACAACTACTACTACCACTACTTCAACAGCAGCATCAACCTCCATAGATGCTCACCATGAAAAGCTCCCCTTCAAATGCCACCACTGCATTTCTCCCCTAAGTTGTACAGCATCAGGAGGAGGAGGGTTGCTAGGTCTGGTCACCGCACCAGATTATCATCACATCAAACACCAACCCCTCCTCTTGGAGTCTTCTTCCATCAAATCCTCCTCCTCCTCATCAGATTCATCATTATCACCACTAGTGTTTTCTCCTCCTCCTCCTCCTCCGGAAATTGAGTTTGAGACAAAGAAAGATTACGCAGGTGGGTTTGGGTTCATAGACGACATAGGAGGCGGCGTGGACGGCTTGATGTCGTGCACGGAGAGCCTAGGGTTTGAGAGCTCGGACGAGAGGCGAGTGGATGACCATCAGATCATTGAAACAATCGGCCACCATCATCAGAATGAATATGAGGATCCTGTGGAGGAGGACGCGTGTTTGAGGATGATGAGGCAGTCGATGAGGAGAGTGTCCAAATGGAAGAGGACGGGGAAGAAGAGAGAGGAGGCCAAGAAGTTTCCACCACCGCTTTCTTCTTTAAACCAGAATGGGCAGCCCAGGTATTACCTCAGGCCTGTCAGGAAAGACGGGAGGCTGGAGCTCACGGAGGTCAGGATTTACAGGCCTGAGATCTTGCGTGCTTATCGTCAAGATGGACGGTTGAGATTGCATCTTGTTACCCACGAACCTGATCTCCAAGAAGAAGAAGAAGAACAACAACAACTAGAAGGCATCCAAGAAGAAAATGAAGAAGAAGAAGAAGTTATTGATGAGAAAGAGAGTATAATTAATGTGAAGGAGGTGGAGGAGGAGGAGGAGGAGAGGAAGCTGGCTGTGGGAGGAGAAGGGTTTCGGAGGTGCCAGAATCTGGTGAGCGGCGGCTACCATCACCACCGTGGAAACTTGGCGGTGTGGAGCCAGCGGCAGCATTGTGTGACAACCAGGTGATGATAGCATAACAGAGAATATTATGGCATGGTGTTCAAAGTGGCCGCGTTGAGAAAGAGACAACTGTACTGGCTCTACATGTAGTTAAATTAGGAAGAAGGACGAGATGTTTCATAGGAATTAATGAATGAAGTAGAGAGGGAAAGTCAATTAATCGAGGTTGGAGAATTAAGAGAGAGGCAGTTAATTTAAGGCTTACGAAGGTCAAGTTATGTTTGCGGTGGAGGAGCACTGTTTCTTTCTATTTAGGATTTAACTATTGTGATTAATTAAAGTACGTAAATTAATTAGCGTGTGGAATATAGATATATATATTATTATGTTGATGATGTGTGTATGATCAACAAATTTTGAGGGTCCAGAATCATTATATCAAGTAGACGGTGAGGAATCTCTGCTGCCTGTATATATATATAAACACACCCACATGCACACACATACAGTACAGTCTTACAGATGAGATGACCAGTTGCGTTTGCCAAATATTTCTCTTCTGTCACAAACTCATCACTGTATAATATTATATTTCCAATGCGCAAATTCTGAATTTTTTTGTTATGAATTAATAATTAATTAATGAGATATAAGTTGATGATATATATTATATTTCCACACTCAATGTTTTCATGTAAAACAAAGTAAGTAAAAAGCTATTACCTAACTAGTCATGAACTTCATGTGATTCTTGTTGAAGTTATTTAAGACGCGTGCATTAATTAGTCCGGGTGGATAAAAAGAATTATAATTTTGACTAGATAATTGGAAAACAATTTACTTATATTAGTAGAATATCACTATAGCGCTATCCCAAGTCAATCACTCATTATCATATATTTCAACTTTCCAACATAGTAGTGCAACTTCCCGATATTGCATCACGCAACTTTCCAACATAGTAATGCAACTTCCCGACATTGCAATGCGTGATGCACTTGGAATACCTCCACTATGGCATTCCCATTACTTGCAAGTTATTTTCCGATTTTAGGTTTTACGTATCAAATTTCAGGCAACACTTTAAATTTTAAAATCTAAATAATAACTTTAGACCCCAAACCAATCAAAAAAATATAAATAAATAAATTGTATAAACCATGCAGATAAGCTAGAGCTAATCATCCAATGAACTGAAAAAGGAATGAGAGGGACTTGTTGCGAGGTGTCGAGGAGCTGATGAAGACAAAAATAGAAGGGGTAAAAAGGTTTCTGGGTGGATGTTGTTTTGTCGACTGCCACGTACTGCTGTATATCATCAACAGGTGGGAAGGAGGGAAGACTTTCCAGTAACAAAAGTCATTGCCATATATACTACTAGTACTATACTAATTACTTTTTTACTTTTACTTTATTTGGTAATTAAGGGCTAAAATCTAATCTTCACTTTTCAGGTTATTTCTAATTTATTTCAGCTTTTAGTTTAGTTTGCTGCAGCACATTTTACACATGCTTAATTAATATTGGTGTTTCCTAATATTTTATTAATAATTAAAGCTAAATCATCACTTTACAACAATAACCATGTGTTGGGTTCATTTTTACACATGATTTATCATGTTATTCACCCATTATTTTGAGTTAGTTCTTGACATTTTATAGATTTTTTACTTCCTTTTTGTGTTTTCATAGGTTTTACCTTGGTTAAAATGAAAATGAGCTAAAAGTGCATTATTGGTTATAAATTCTGATTTTGTTCATTTTCGTAGGTCAACTTCTTGGCATTGGATCAGCATGCTCTGGTGCTCGGATGAGGTGAAGATCTTCATGAAACTTGTTCAAATGGATGTTAACTACAACATATCCAAATTTGAGCTCTATTGGACAAGTATAGCCTATCCAACTGATCCTACATGTTACAGCAGCTCTAGAGATTTGTCTTGGGCCAGTTTTTACCTCCATAGTGTCATCTTGATTCTTCTTGTTACCATACCATTTGGTAACAAGAAATTACTTTGGTTAATAGATATTTTCTGAAACAATGAGCATATTTTTGAAGACAAAAATGCATCATGGCAGGGGGACAAGGAGGAGACAAAGGTTAAAGTGCCATAATGGAAAGGAAGAGAGAGAGGGATGAAGAATGATGAGAGGCATCTTGCATCAGTTTGGAACGGGGGAATTGAATTGGCAGAGCACTTGCAGAGTAAGAGAGCAGGTTTTTGGGAGATAGGAGAGGAAAAAGGCATCTTCCTTTAGGCAATTGACTTGGGCAGATTGTAGGGAACGGGGGATTGGAATTGCAGAGCACTTGCAGAGTAAGAGAGCAGGTTTTTTTGGAGCTAGAAGAGGAAAAAGGGAGGAGACTTCCACCACTGAAGACTTCAAGCTTTCATCACTTCCAAACTCTATAAACTCTTTCTAGTTTTGTTTTGAATTTGTAGTTGAATTAAGTATGAGCAACTAAACTCCATAGCTAGGGCTTAGGTTGAAGCCCTAAACATGATTACTCTATTGTTTTGATGCTTGAGTGTATGAATTTCTAGATATTGTTGATGAATTCCTATTCACTAAAATAATCTATCCTTAATGTATGTTTTTCTTTGATTGATCACCTTTGAAAGCATGCTTCTTGAGGTTGTTGGGATTGTGTGAATTCTTCATATTTTCCTAAGTAACAAATGGATGAAGTAAGAACCATCCATGTGAATTGGTTTCTTGAATGCCTAATGTAAACACCATGCTATTAGGATTCTTGTGATGTTCATATTCTCTTTGAATTTAATGGGTTTTCCTTGTAATTGAATCGAAGTACTAATCACACCTAGGTTCGGTTATGGGGAGGGCACGAGTATTGTAGCATGCACTCTACTTATTTTAGAGAGAATCATGCATCTTGAGCCACTAAACCCAGTCTTGATTGCGAACATCTTCATCAACACGTTTAGAGTTCATCACTTAAGTATTCACGAACTTGAGTAGGATTGTTTAGGGTGGATTCTGAAACCCTAGTGTTTGTTATCACTGAATTTTGTTTGTTTATGTAATTGTTTTTGACTTTTGGTCCGCGCTATGTTCTTTGTTTTTCTGTGCTGAATCCAACCGTATAAATAATTTGAAATTTGGACAAACGGTTGGAAAGTTATAAGTCAAAAACTGGACAGAGGTCGAAGCTGAAAAAACAGAGAAACAAATCTGTCCAAATGGTGATAAACAGGTGATACAATGGTGATAAAAGGGTAATAGAAAGTGCTGTTTGTGTTTTTCTTTGGTTTCTTGTTTTGTTTCTTTTCTTTTACCTTTCTTTACTCATTCTTAGCTTCCAATTTGTTTTGTGCATCTGTGTTGTGTTAAATAAGTGTTCTTTATGTACTCAAATTAGAACTTGTAGGAAGCCGACAGTTCTTTGTGGGATCGACCCCGTACTTACATAATCTATACCTCAATAGATTCTTGCATTTGCGGCTATTTTTAATTGGTTGTTTGCACATTAATTTGTGTCAGTTATTAATACAACACCATGCTTATTTATTAGCATAGCGACTGGAAATCGTGAGACAAATTAACAAATAAATCGTGGTTAAATTAGTTTGATGCTTTTTTGTTTTGTTTTATCATGTGCAGATAGTGGACAAAAATACATCATGCTTTCTTGTTGTTGCGCTATCGTACGCGTATTATAAAATGTCAAATTAATTACAAGATGTTTTTCGTTTGGATGTTACAATTCACAAATTATAAGTACACTCAAGTTAATATTTGAATAGATAAAAAAAGAGATTTTTTATTTAAACCCTGCACTTCTCTTTGTTCACCCCATTACTTAAATCATTAAGCTGTAAGTTTTATTATTGTGTAAAAAGACAAAAAAGTTCATCCAACTTAATACTTAACCCTAGTACATCTATACACACACCTCACCACTCTTCATATTAAGTTTTAGAAAAGTACAAACTCATCTATGTCCAATTGCTAGATTACTTTTCTCTTTTAAAGACGTAGACCATTGAGGAGTCTACCTCTTTAAAATATGCGTGGAAGCTGATAGAAATGCTTGTCGATTGTTTGGCTGTAATGATCTTATTCTCTCTTTTTGTGTATACTACAGATATTATTTAATGATTTAAGTATTGAGGTGAACAAAGAAAATTGTGGAGTTTAAATAGAAAATCTCTTTTTTTTAAAAAATTTATTTATAGCTTGGGGTGTATTTAAGGGTATTTTGGGAAGATATTTGGGTTTTCTTAGAAATTGTGAAAATTTAAATTAGAAGTTGGGGTGAACAAAGAGAAGTGTGGGGTTTAAATAGAAAATCTCTAAAAAAAATATGTGAAATTTTAGGTGGCTAAGTATTTCAAATTTGGGTTAAGATCTAATTTTAGGTGAATCTTAAAGGGAATTAAGGCACGTAGCTTTATCACACAATAATTTTTCATTTAATTGGTATTCATGAATAAAAATATTCAAGTTGGTTCAGAATTTTTCCAGTGCAGTTTGCATGTTATTTGGTCGAAAAAACCTGAAAGAGTATAGTTATGAGAGAGAGAAAATTAGAGGGCAAAGTGAAAAAAGGTTTATACCAAAATCGTCGACAGCAGGGTTCGAACCTGCGCGGGCGAAGCCCAACAGATTTCAAGTCTGTCTCCTTAACCACTCGGACATATCGACACTTGTGTTAGCTTGAACATCCTAATGGTATTTATCCAAACTAGTGGGAGGAAACTATGCCACAGTTGTGGATTGAGCTAGGGCTGGGCTGGGTTTTGAGCCCAAACCGACCACCTACCCGGAAGTCTCAGCCAATTGGGTCCGATTTATAATCGAAAATTCATAAACAACGATATGACCGATCAACAGTTTGAAATGCCCAACCTTAATTGTTGTGTGTGTTGAAGCGGTTGAGAAAACAAGTGACAAGCTGGAGATGTGATGTTGAAGCCATCAACGAAGCTTTTACTTTCAAACGCTATGCGGTGTAATTTAAATATTTAAGTTCAACGAGATTGAACATCAACGGGGACGTAGCTCATATGGTAGAGCGCTCGCTTCGCATGCGAGAGGCACGGGGTTCGATTCCCCGCGTCTCCATAATGTTGTTTCATTTACTAGTTTTATCCTGCACCGTTGGACTCACTGACCAGACAAACTACGATCAAGTTGTGCTTTTGTTTTTATCTTTTTTTAAACTCATAAACTTGAAACATGTTGCAAAATCGGCACAAATGAAACCCGAAAAGTCAAAAGTGCCCTTACTCTTTTTTATTTTTTTTCCCTTAATAAAAGACATGAAAAACGCACCCATCGGCCGGCATCGTTGAAGGAGGAGACATCCAGCTCAAAACCCATTACACAATCCATATATTTTATATATATATATATAAATATAACTAGCAAAAGCTGATGGCAAACATTTGACGTGTGGAAGGATATGTACAACCCACAATTTGCTCAAACTTTTCAAAGAGTGGAAGATTTCTTTCGAACTTGTTTGGATTTTAAAGTCATATTATTATTTGGTCCAGTTGGTCATGTCCGTGCATTATCAACTGTCACAATGTTATTAAAATTAGTACACAACTAGAACAATTGTACCAAATATTTATAACTAGAGTCCACCAATTCAATTCAAATGTGACATGCTTTGAATAAAGAAAATATACAACTATCCAAGAAAAGAGAAATGCTAGCAACCTTCTCTTTTGGACCTTCTCCCTTCTCCTCATGACAAGTGTCACTTTCCTTGCACTTAAAACAATGTCATTAATTCATCACATAAGTTAGTTTTTGTTTTCCAAGTTTACCCTTTTAAAATGTATTGGCTTCTATATTTCCTTCAATTTATTCAAATTTTGTTACAACTTCTTTAGCACATTATTAAAAATTAAATAATAAAAAAAACATAAGAAAAATGTCATATTTTAAAATATAAAAAATAAAGTTCGTTTCATGACATTGTTATCATCTTTATTTTGTTTATAACAAAACACACGTTCTCTTTGGAAATTTTTTTTTTTATATAAAAAACTTCAGTTTTTATTTTCTTATTTAATTTTTTAACAAGATGGTAAGAAAGTTGTAAAAAAATTAGCTTGTTATTAAAAAAAAATTAATACATTTAATAAGGGTAAAGTTGGAAAACAAAAACTAGTTTGTGTGATGCATTAATGACATTGTTTTAAGTATAAGGAAGGTGACACTTGTCATGAGAAGAAGGGAGAAGGTCCAATAGAAAAGGTTAGAGAGAAGGTTGCTAGCACTCCCCCCAAGAAAAAAGGAGGAGGAGGTTTTATTGAAAATGTTTATTTAAAATAAGTCAAAAGGCCAAAATGATAAAGAATTGGGGAAGCCTATAAATTGCGCAAGAGAAGAAACCCAGAAGCCAAATTGCCCCATTGCGCATTGTCGCATTGTCGCAGTCCCATCAAAATAGACCAAGGAGCAAAGACAGAAACCCACACGACTGAAAACCACGGCTAACACATTTCACATTCTTATTTCTCAGACTGAAAATCTGAGAGAGGGACAGAGAGAAAAAGAGATTCAGATTCAGACTGCTAAAGAGAAAGAGAAATTGAAATCCAAGATCTCAAGACCCAGAAGACAAAGACAAGAGAAGAGGATCATAAAATGCAGCAGCAAAATTGCAAAAGCAAACCGCAGCCAGTTCTTCCGAAACGGATAATCTTAATGCGGCACGGCGAGTCTCAGGGCAATCTAGACACCGCCGCTTACACCACCACCCCCGACAACAAAATCCCACTAACGGACGTCGGCCTGGCCCAGGCCCACCTCGCCGGCGCCCACCTCCACCACGTCATCTCCGACACCGACACCAACAACCCCAACTGGCGCGTCTACTTCTACGTCTCTCCCTACGAGAGGACGCGCTCCACGCTCTGTCAGATCGGACGGTCCTTCTCCCGGACACGTGTCATCGGCGTCCGTGAGGAGTGCCGGATACGGGAGCAGGACTTCGGCAACTTTCAAGTGCAGGATCGGATGAAGGCCATTAAGGAGACCCGGGAGAAGTTTGGCCGCTTCTTCTATCGGTTTCCGGAGGGAGAGTCCGCCGCTGATGTCTACGATCGTGTTTCAAGTACGTTTTTTTCTTTTTGGGTTTTTGCTTTTGTTGTTTGTTTTTGTTGATGAGCATTTTGGCAATGTGAGGCATAATTAAGAAGTGATGGTTTAGGATTTGCAAGATAACCCAATTGGGAATTTGAAAGTTTGTTTGTGTTTGTGTTAAAGTCCAAAACTTTACTTTGTTTTGTTGGGTTCTTTTGCATTCCATTTTTATTCTGAGTGGAGTGGTTTCGAATTTGATGAAACCTTCAGTGGAACATTTAGATAATTAGCAGGGTTTGAGGTTGAATTGTGGTGATGCTAAGTTGTGAGTTTTGTTGAGATGAGCAGGATTTGAGGTTGAATCTTAAATATGTTTAAGCTTGGCTTGACGTTTTAGTACCTCTGGATCTTTAGAAAGAGGCTTTCCATTTGGAAATTGCGTTCTATGATTTAATAATGCTTTTCTTTGGAACCAAAAAGTATTGCCCAAATGTCTAATGATGATTGAAGTAGTGCTTTACACATAGTGAAGAGGTTATTGAAAGAGGTAATGATCCATGGTTATAAAGTGGTGGATGGCATGGAAGTCCAATTTCATAAAGTCACCGCTAGATGATGCTTTCACTCTGTGCAGTTTTGTGAACCAGACCGCTAGTCTTTGAATTTTCTCAATTCTAATTTTGTGAAACTAGATTCCAATGAAATGCAGCTTTAGATTTGTAATGTAAACGTGAAATCACACTTGCTGATGAGATGAATGTATGGAGGTTCTGAAAAGTTTGCTTATGTTGCAGGTTTTCTTGAATCATTATGGAGGGACATTGACATGAACAGGCTTCGCCATGACCCTTGCCATGACCTCAATCTTATAATAATATCACACGGGTTAACATCACGCGTCTTCCTCATGAAGTGGTTCAAGTGGACGGTTGAGCAATTCGAGCACCTAAACAATCTTGGAAATTGCGAATTTCGAGTGATGCAATTAGGAAAGGGCGGAGAATACAGCTTAGCAATCCATCACAGTGAGGAAGAACTAGTAGAATGGGGTCTCTCCCCTGAAATGATAGCTGACCAAAAGTGGCGAGCCCATGCCAACAGGGGTGATTGGAATGAGCGTTGCCCCTGGTACCTTGATGCTTTTTTCGACCGTCTAGCTGACTCGGAAGACAGTGGAGAAAATGAAGACATTTGGCATGAAACTGATGAAAAGATTCAGCAATCAAATTGATTGTGCGAGTCGTGAAACCAAACTGATTCTTTTAGCATATGAACATAGGCTCCTCAGCAATTGGGTTGGGAATTCTTTTGATTTAACATGTAGTTAATTGTTGTATGTTCATAGTATCTCTTGAATGCTGGAAATAGAAAATAGCAATATCAATTGGAGTTCAGAATTTTTACTGATTTCTTTGTTGTGAGGATTCGATGGGCTAAATTAGGGTTGTGCTTCTCTTATTCATTGCGTAATTTGGATTTGTTGAAAGAATGAAATTTGCATGCTAGACTGATTTTGGACAGGAGATGGATGTGAATGCATGGCAAACAGGGCTTTCCGAAATGGGCATCGAATGACATTTTAGATGGCAAACTAATCAAACATGCAGTTCCTTAGTTTGGGCTCAAGCTGCACACAATTGGCCTCCCTCTATTGCTTTTTCTTGAAGGGCTAAATTAAAATACTGAAAAATTCAGGTACAAACTAACACAAGCAATGGCCTACTCAAGCTGGAAACTACTTGTTTGTTCCACTTGGACCCAGAGCAGAGCAACCTGCTTTAACATAATGCGTGAAGGATGATCATGGAAAATGCAATGGAGCATTTGACTGGTGGCTGGGTGTGTCTAGAGAATGACACGTACTGTGTCAACATTGGCCAAATAAGATCTTTCACAAAAGAAAGGTTTCCTGTTCTCAAGCAAACACCATCATCAAAGCAACATTCTTATTCAACCCAAACTCGTTAACCGAATCTTTCCTTTTCTCTCACACTGCCACCCTCTCTCTCTCTCTCTCTGCAAAATTCCACAAATCAGTCCTTTATACTTTACCGGGATCTGGGTTTCCTTTATTTTGGCGGAAAAAGCAGAGGTTGTCTTTCACAAACATACACAAAGATATAGAATTCACCTGATTTGAAGCAAAAGTTCTTCAATGTGCTTCAGTCATTGAGTCAGTCAGATTCTCATTGTAGGTCCCAGATCTTGAAGTGGGTTTCTTTGATTGGATATTGTTCATTTATTTTTGCCATTATTGCACACATTCCTAAAATTCATTAAAATTGCTGTGAAGTTCTGAGTTTTATTCATATTATATCAGTATATAACCCAGATCCTGAAAATGAGCTTTTGATATCTGATCGTGGGCATTCTGCAAATTTGGAAACAAACAAACCAAAGTTGGGTTTTGTCTTTTTTTCTTCTTATTTTGGGTGGGAAATAGATGGCTCATCCACCAGACCATGGGTTTTGTACTAATGGTGTTGTGAGGCTGGTTTTTGTTTTAGTGTCACTGTGTTTGGTTGGGTACACTATACGTCCATCTTTGCAGTGGAGCTTGAAGGAGAAAGGTTCATGCCCTCAGTGTCCTTGTGATTGTTCAAAAGATTTCGACCCTATACCTGTAGGTGAGATTCACTTTTCAATGATTGTTAATGCAGTCATATCAAATATAGAAATGTTGGTTCAATTTGAGTTAACAATTGTTTTGGAAGGCATGTTCCTATTTTTGGTAGAGCAGCTTTACTGGATTTGGTTTTGCAGAGCAAATTGTTAAATTAGTCTTAAATTTCTATAATTTTCATGTTTGAAGCCTGAGGTTCTAGTAAAGAAGCATACTTGGGCGTTGTTCGTTGGGTCAAGTATATTAAATTGGTTATCTTTCTATGTCAATTTACATAGAAAGATATGATATTCCGACTTCCATATATGTTTTGTATTAGGTTGAAATTAAGATATGATATTCTGCTAAGCTTATTTGTGGAAATACATCATATATTAACCTCCTTTTTCATGTCACTTTACCAGATATTATCAATAGCTCATTTTCAGGTCAGTTCAACCCTGTCTTGCATCAATTTAATGTTATTAAAAAAATTTAGTTATCGGTTCTTTCCTGTTTCAGAAGAACATTGTCGGTCGATGTATCTTTTGTTGTTGTAATGCAGACTGCGGTAAACATGAACCAGAAGTGAAAGAGGAAATGGAGAAGGATATCATAGCCTTGATGTCAGAGGAGCTAAGTTTACAGCAGACTGTAGCGAACGAAACTTTGCAAAGGACCGATGCATTGTTGATGGGTGCAAGGAGAGTCTCTTTGCACTACCAAAAAGAGGCAGAAAAATGTAATGCAGGAGTGGAAACATGTGAAGAAGCAAGGGAGAGGGCTCAAGCAGAACTTGTAGAAGAGCTTAGGCTTTCAGAAGTATGGGAGAGACGAGCTAGGGAGCTTGGATGGACAGATAATTCTTGAATCAAGGCATTACCAATATTTTTCTCTTGTTTATTGTTTTTCAACTTGGTCATGTTTGGCCTTCATTTGCAAGACTGCACGGACAACTAATGCTTCGAGGCCTTTCTTGTGGATATGAATACTTTTAGGCTTTTAATGTTTTATAGTTTTGAGAATGAAACTTTCGGGATTTTGAAGTTGGGTCTGTATTATCCATCTTATCTTATCATTCCCGTATATTTTAAGAAAGTAAGGGTAAGGAGAAATTTGTCGTGCTAAAATGTTCACAAATGGAATTACTACTCTTTTCCCCTTGTAAATAAATGAAGCGAAAATGGGAACAAATACATGAAAAATGTGTTTTGACTTGTCAAAACTCAGTAACCTCTCGGATATTGTGCTATGTTTTTTTAAGTAAATAAATCAACCGTGAAGTATTTGGCTCTAAGAATCAACCCATTTAAGCAGAATTAGGAAGCCAGATTCCTCAGGTTAAATATAAACTATCCAAGACTGCAAATCCAGCTGCAACTCCACCTTCATCTGATGAAGAAGCCTTGGTCCGCATCAGGTAGCCACATTGGTCATTCAAGATCACTTTCTCTTTGTTCCTGCAAATATGAAAAATGTGGCGCTATGATTCTATAACTTTGGCTACAGCTTTGTTAGCACCTTACCAACAATGCCAACAGAACAATTTGATGGAACAACCCGGCCCCAATAAGGAGAAAAATAAAACAAAAACCCAAAAAATTAGTCATAAAAGTCATATACCTTAAGTAAGCACCATATATCCCCAGCTCAGATACAGTATCATCTTTATAACAAATGCCATTGCGCATCAAGAATGTGTGAGAAACAGTAGGGAATATCCTCTGCATTAGGATATAAGCAGCATCTGCTTCTGATCCTTCTTTCTGCAATCTCATGAGGGCTTCCCTCACGTCATTGCCATAGATATTGTTCCCTGAAGTGTAATACTTACTCGTTAATAATACTTGTCATTACTACAACAGCAGAGTAAAGTTTAGGAACGCAGACCTCCGCCTTCTCTTTGGGGTTTCATAACATATAATCCAGGCCTTTCTATTGCGTCTTTTACGATATCCGAGTCATCCAAACTCCACAATCCTGCAAAGCATTTCCGCAATTTTGCAATGTCCTCTTTATTGTCAACAAACCTGCTCACATGAAGATGATAGAAAAGCTCTGAGGTTGGTGGTTGTAACAACAGTAACCATTCTTTCTTAAAGTCAAGAAAAGCTCACACTGAGCTTCTCATTATCTCAAAGAAACAAATATATGATTCATACAATTCATACTTCTAGCTACCAGCTCCAAAAACAGAGTTTTAAAACTGTTAGGATATTAATGTAACAATGGATGGAACTTAAATCCAGAAATAACCTCTCAAGAACATTAGGCTTCACAAGTTCTTGTTGAATCTTTTTGGTCCCTGCTAGATGATAAGAAATTGAGGGGCACTTGATGGCAGATGACTGCTCCATGAGTAGCCTTGCTCTCCACTCCTACAAATTAAAAAAACATGGTACTAAAAGCCAAACAATAGACATCATATTCTGAGTACACATTTTTGCAATTGAAGTATCATATTTCTTTTATAAGTAGCCTTTTAAGTATCATCTTAAGCATATTTCAAGTCAAGTTAACGAAATAAAGACATCCAAGAATGATCATGTGCGTAAAAATCATGGAACAACATCCAAAGAGATATTCATACTTACATGTCCAATCATACAAATAGAAACACATGCAGGATTAGCCCACCAAAGTCACCCCCAACAGATATTGAACAGATCTACATATGCCTTTATGGACTTGAGATTTACTCTTCTACTTTGTACCCTTTTTGTGGATAAGTAACTACATTTTCTGCTACTGAATAACAGAAGCTCACCACTACAAGGAAGAATGTCACATTCTTCTTAAAAAAGAATCAGTATTTGAGTAGCAGGAAAGTAAGACTTGCTTACTGATTCAGAAGGATAATCATTTGGTGTGTACCCAGCTCTGAAATACACAACTGCAATTGCTTGGCCACCCCTGCAAGTTAAAGGCATTTCAAGACATTAAAAAGGATATAACATGCTAGATCCACAAATCTAGATTAGTATAATGAACTTTCCACAGCTAATAAGGCTACATACACAACAAGTGTTCCATCTGGTAGAAGCTCCCCCTCTGCGTCAATTTCTGCCAATGTTTTCCGAAGAGTTGATACATTATGTGTGTTATACAGTTAAGGAACATGACTGTTTATGAATTTTGTAAACTAGCGTCTTATAAAAGATATAAGCTTATATAACTATAACTATACATTTTCCTAGAGATACCACTTCCTCCAACATAAAGCTTGTTGTAAGCTAAAAAGGATATATTTCTTTCAACAGAGCAGAAAGCCAGTGTTGGTCATACATGTTGCGTTCATCAGCCTGAACCACGAACATGACTACAGCCCTGCACATATATTTGGAGTTAACCGTACCTTTATTCACTTTGCTGAAAGTGGCAGCAGCAGAAGGAGCAAATGAGACATTGTGTCAGCTCTAACCTTGGGTTATTGTATTCTGACCAAGCTTTAGCCAAAGCCTCTACAAACTGACTGGCTGCAGGATTATTAGGAACTCTTTTGGAATCCAATCCAAGAAATTCTCCATAGTGGTTAAGTAAGCTCCTGGAAAATGAGATGGAAAATGAGATGGAAAATGAGAAGCTAAGGGTAAAATACTTGGTAATCTTATTATGATTAATTTTTTAGCATTGGATATGAGAATATCAACAGATATACACACATACAAATAAATATCAACATGGTTCGGAAGAATATAATGAAAACCTATGAGGCTAAGTATAGAAATTTCATAGGATACTTCTTCCAATTGCAATTGTTTAACTTTGAAGGAAAGACCCGGACCCACCACACCCTGAACCTTTACTAGTTGAACCAACAGCCAAAAGATTGTTTTGGAAATTGATAATTGAGACCTTTATGCATCCAAGACTCAAAATATGATTGATTTCTATGTTTGACAAGCACAAAGTTTGCAGTCTGTAGGAAGTCTTTGGAATGCATATCACTTTTAACACCACAAATAAACACATTATGATATGGAAAATTGATGGAGCATTTTCACCGTTACTGCAATATCTGACATACAAAAACCACTAATATGCTTCTAGTTTTGGTGGACTTTCAACATACAGGAACAATTTCATAAGTTGAACCCAGTATTACATTGACTAGTCAGAAATTCATGAGCAAATCAATGAATACATATTAATTATGAGATCTCCTACTACTTAACCTGTGAAGATCACTGACACGACAACCGAGTCCTGGAAATGAACATGAAATTGTGTTCGTCTCTATCTGAAGGAGTAGTTTAGTTTGTTCATCAAGCATATAATCTGAGCGATGTAAACCCAAGCGTATATCCTGTTTAAGTGATTAAAATAGTTTAGCATCTTCACCACCAACGAACAAAAAAGTTATCCACTTACACCAAAAAGGACCTAAAGTAAATCAAATAAAATCAACATATAAGTGGCGCCCCATAACTAGATACTGTAATACTCCTGTCTGTCCATCATATCATATTCTGAGTATGTCTATCTTTCATATAACTTGTAATATAGGCAACTATAAGAAAATCATCCAGAAAATTTATAAGAAAAACACTACCATAATCTGGAGATATTCAACTAAATCACATTCAATGTAGATTAAGTTCTCCTCTCACAATAACTAGTTTCCACATGTTGTACTGATATACCATTTACCTCATTCTTGTTAATCTCTAGCATCTTGGAATGAATATCTAGAAGTCTAGATGTAAAAGCATCCGCTTTCTTCGTTCTGCGATATGAAGATTATATTAGTTCATGAGCTCTAATCTCTAGAGCCAATAGACAAAAGCTGTAGCTGTCATGTATGTTGATTTTCTATCTTATCCCCATACCCAATCCATTAAAGTTCAAAGTAAGCTTGTTGGGGCCAAGTATATCCCTAGCTGAGGTTGAACATTCTTTCTTAGGCACAATTAAGTGCAAGACAAGCTCCATACCATGCTGCCTAGCTGGCCAGATATACCACAACTATTCTTATTTGACACACCCAAGTCAAGCAGATTGGATAAGGCTTTCCTAGGACAATTTAAACTAAATTGTTAGCATGCTCATTTTCAAAATCACATAAATAATTAAAAATACTATGCGCAAAAATACCTGGACAATGAATCCTGCAGAAACTTTGCATCCAAACTCACTCGATCAACAAGTTCATTAAATATGGGGGCTAACTCACACGCTTGCTTCCAATGACTTTCTGGAAACGGCATCGGCAATAAAGCAAACGGTGCATGTACCATGCCTACACCAGGTACTTTTCCTGATCTCTGTAATTTACAGCATCCAACATCAAATTTCAGATTTTAAGTTATACACTGACAAATCATCGTAGAGTATAATTTCCAATAGCTTCTGGTAACCAAAAGTCTGCTCATTTATTTAAAAGTAGAGCTTTTTTTTTTCACGTACAATTACAAAGATGAACTATAGCTTTTAGAAAACAATTCCGGAGCAAGCACTTCTTTTTTTGCCAACTCGGAACAAGCACTTGGGTGCCATGTAAAAATTAATACCGAGGTAAGATGTTCTCTCGAATCACTTTTATTTATTTATACAAATGATCAGAAAGGTAAGCCCGACAACTTGGTATTCTGAGAAAATATACATGTTTCTACCATTGGTTGTCTAAAAACTGGGAGAACAGAAAAGCAAATGAAAAACAAAAATTGAATTTGATTCTCAGGAAATCTCAATCTAATCTTCAACAATCATACGCTGAATCAAGTGTTTCATTTTTCAAGTAACTAAAGACTTCTCAGACCACAAAAACGAAAATTAAGAGAGAAAATAAAACCTTCAATTTTCAATCTTTTCCGTTTTCATCAGCTGAAACCAAACAACCATTTAGCTGAGCAGTACCACTGACCTGAACAGACTTGTCACCAACAACAAGCCCATGAAGAGAGCTCCAAACAAGAGCATCATACACAATCTTCTCAACCAATTCCTGATCAATCCCACCAAAATCCAACAAGGGTCTTGTGCCATTTCCCTCTTGGGTCTCCCCAACTTCAACTTTCCCACCCTGGAGAGGCAAAACTTGCGAGGGTTGGGCCATGATCCTGAGATGAGTCTGGAATATTTGATTGGTTGGATTCAATTTAAAAGATGGATTTGGTAATCCAGATTGTCTTATATGAGAAAAGGCAGTTGCTTTGGGATGTGAGTGCAGAAGGGTGTGAGTGGAGTGGGCGGTGGAATGAGAGCATGAAGAATAGGAAGCACCCATGTTTGACCCTTTTAGGTGGTGACCACAGAGGTGGCTTTAAACGCACACCTTGGGCTCTCGATGCATACCCGCCATATGCCTTTGCAATGGCAACTCTTTCCCACAATGATGTCCAAATTCACTACCAATTTTAGCCTTTTTGGGGTCATGAATGAAATAGATTCCGCTAGTTGGTGTCCATGTGCTTTTTACTGTTAAGATTTCACAAGGATGGATATGTTGCCCACATCACCATTACTAACATATTGTCTTCGAATATGGTCTCGATGTTTTTAGTAGTGGAAGTTGTGAAACCATTTATTATTTGTTGTATGTTATTTTGTCAAAGTTTTGATGTAGGACTTCATATCGTTCAATATTTTTTCTAACGTGGAATCACTCTTTAGTGAGTCACACATTCAACCAATTCCACATCCCTAATTCTTGAGTGAGTCACACATTCAATCAATTCCGCATCTCTAATTCTTTCTTCTTTTTTAATTTAGGGTTTTAATATGTAAGTTCGGATTTCAATTTGAGTCAATTTGGGGTTTTTTTAGTTCAAGTTCAATCGGGTCCAGTAATCTGACCCACTCTAACACTACGTTAAGATTTTAGAGGGACAAGCCCAAAGTTTATCACTACCAACATCAAATGCTCTTAATAGTGAACCATTTATTACATATTGTATTTATTTTATCAAGTTTCCTATGTGGCACTTCATATTGTTCAGCATCTAGCTTATTTTTAGTCCTGATCCTTATAAATCCAGTATCTATACATTGTGCCAAAGCAGACCATCATCGAGAAGAAACTCTGGAAGCGAGTTGAAATACAATTCCAGGTCTAAAAAAGGAACCTGTAATTCAATTCGTTGTATAAAATTAAATTTTTTAACAATAAACACGCGAATATATAACTACAATAATATCAAATATGAAACATTCAAACTATGAAATATTTCGGCATTCCAATTAAACTATGAAATATAACTACAATTAAACTATGAAATATTTTGGCTTTCCAAACACGAATTTTGAATTTCTTATCCACCTTGGTGCACCATCCTCATGGTCGGCCGCAGCGGCGTCTTCGTCATGTTATTCGTAACGTTGGCATTGGATTTGGTGTGGTTGCAGCATGGCTGATAGGATGTGCTGCCCAGAGTCACAGTCTTGAGCGCTTGTTCTTGTAAAATTTTCATTAAGAAGTTGAAGAGCCTGTGGAAAATTCCTGGTGATAATAAGGATTGGCTTTCTCTTGCATCCATTCTCCAAAAAGCTTCTCTGGAACCAGGGGTTGCTTTGCTTATGTGATTATATGCTAGCCAGTAACTTGGCGCTTGAGAAACTGAGGCTTCTACCCTTTATATAGGGAAAGTTACACGACTGAATAAGAAGTAGCTTGGAAGGGAAGTTTCATATGACTTTGAATATTGTTTTGCCGGATGCTTGTCAGAGAAAAACTGCGAAAGACATCTCATTCACAGAAGAAAACAAAGCACAATTTCTTCCCTAATCAGAATAGGAAAAGCAAAAGTTACAATTTTCGAAAATTCCCTACAAATTTAAATCAATGTTTTGATCTAGTAAACAACGTTTGTACAATTAAAAAGAAACCTTTTGTGGTCTATATCTGGATTAACCCTATATGGTTACTATGCTTCCATATTTGTATTATCCCTTTGTGGGCATTTGTATTCGCCATTGTGGCTGATGCTCTTTTGTGCCTAATTTATGAATACAATTATCGCTTTTGTCTAAAAAAGTTTCTCTCTATGGATATAGGAAACATAGAATCACAATTCCTTAACTTACAGGACAAAACTTTACAAACAAAGTGACTTTAGAATTTGGCAGAGGGCCAGAGGCATGACCAATAATTGCCCTTACATGCCGATTTTACACCAAGTTGTTAAATGCTTTTGGGGACATATTCTTTCCTTTTCTTGCAAGAAAGAAATTCTTAAACCCCGAAGTTTCACCACTAACTTTTATCATAATTAACCTTCTGCAGGGAAAACAAAAAACTTTATCATATTCATAACTATATGAGATATAGGGAAATTCTCCAATAAGTGTTTAAGTTAAGAAGTGGTTACATATTTTTTATCTCGGCCGTTGGATTGCATTCATTAAATGTGTTGGTAGATTTAATATGCAACGTATATGTAATTTAACGGTCTAGATTAGAAATATGTAACCAATCCTTAACATAAAATACTTATTGGAGAATCTCCCATCAGGTATATATACATATGCAACAGATGATAATATCTGATTCAACTTGTATATTTCAATTATGTTTGCCTATGCTAGCTAGTTGAAGAACTGTAGCATGAGCATTTGGTTACATTGTATATTTACATTGACAAGTCACAACAGAGAGAGCTAACACAACCCTACAAGGCCTTGAGTTGATGTAATTAAGATTCACAAATATGTGCCATCTTCTTGCTCAAACCAGAACCAACCTTCAGAATTGATCTTAAAGGTTTTTGTTTTAGCTCCTCTTTTGCTAGCTCTAACCAGTTCAACTTTTCAAACGATTTGCTCCTTCGTCTTAACTTCATAGCTTTCTCCATATCCTCTACCCTGTCGCATATGCTAACCGTTTTCTTTGGAGGTTTTGCTTGCTGTGCAATTGTTGCTGCTTCATGTGTTTCCTCTTCTGGTCTCCTTTCTGCATTACCATGGAAACCATTGTCCACATCTGCATGGTCAGCTGAACAAACAACCAAGGGAGAAAGAGGGTCTAAATTGTTTGAAGTATTGTTACCCGAAGTTTTTTGAGGCATGGATTCATTGTGCAGTTGGGCTAAGCCTCGCTTCATTGGAGGGCCTAAAGTCAGAGTCTTGACGGCTTGATAGGCTAGGCTTCTCGAGATGATGTTGTAGAGCCTTTGGCAAATGCTCAGAGATTGAAAATGTTGTTCTCTCCCATCCATTTGTTGATTTCTTTTTTTTTTTTGGTCCCTTAAAATAATTGTTTAGTGTGCAATATGAATGCAAACTGGAGAGACCGTAGTTTGGAATTTTGGATGAATGGTTTGCTTTTGTGGATACCATTCTTACTCTTTGTAATTTGAAACTTTGAAGTAAGGTATTCTATGTTTCTTAAAAACAGAGATAACAAATCCAAGTTTTTTTGAAAAATTACCAAACTTAATGGAATGAAAGAATGCCAAAAATGGCATTGTCCTTTTCGAAAGTTATTCTGAAACTCAATGAAACACAACAGAATACCTAAGGAAGGCATTTTAATTGTCGAGTTGAGAGAAAGAAGAAGAAATTGGCAAATTGCCGATGGTCCTTTTGCAGTTGAGGATATAAGAGCATCTCCTTTGGAGATGTTAAATCCAACGCGAAAGCCAAATCAGTAGAAAATAATAACAAAACCCACTCCAACCGAATATCTTTAAGCCTACATCAGAGCCGGTCCTGGGTTTTCTAAGGCCCAGGGCAAATTTTCTCAACTGTGCCCCTTTAAACTTTGAGCAATTTCTTCTTCTTTTTTCATTTGTTCATATTCATTTGGTAAATCTTCATCTAAATTTTCAAGTGAAGCATTGGTTTGTTTAACAAAATATTTATTCAAAGATCCTCTTAAACTTTGAGCAATTTCTTCTTCTTCTTTCTTTCTTTGTCTCTTGAGATTTCCAGAAAGTTGTTTCTTAGGAAATATTTTTTAATTTTTATAATAAACACAACACAATAAAAAACAATAAAACTAATTAACAAAGAGCAATAAAACCTGGATTTTGAGCTTATTTTCTTCCACTTGAAACTTCTACAAAGAACAAGAATCCCAGCCAAGTTTTCTGTTGAATCAAATAATAAATAAGAAAAAGTTAACAAAGATATGTATTACAATTTACAAAATTTATACATCTACATTCTATATGTATCTATATATAATAAAAAAAAATTACCTTCAAAAAAGGCACTAGTCTAGCTCGTGAATGATTTATTTTCCAACTCTATGTTGGAGAAGAGGAGAATCACCAAAAATAAATAAATTGCTTCAGTTCAAAGAAAAGGAGAATCACCCAAAAAAATTGCTTTCGTTGGGTTATGAACTGAGAAGGTTGAGGGTTTTTCCTTCTTCTTTTTGTGGCTAAAAAAGTCTGTTTTGATTTATTCCATAATTTGTTTATTTATTTTATATTATATTGTACAATTAATAAGGACTTTCTTACTCATTACGTTTCTTGAGATTGAGTATATAGAGACTGATTGTGATTGATTGACTTCCCTTTTCATTAAGAAGTACAATCGGTAACTTCTTTTGTTTTTTTTTTGTTTTTTGTTTATTTTTTTACACATATATACATAGGTTTAAAAAAAAGATTTGGGCCCCCTTCAGCTGTGGGCCCCGGGCTGTAGCCCTGGTGGCCCTTGCCCAAGGCCGGCTCTGGCCTACATGGATTGGCTTTCTTGTTCAAAAAGTGAAATATGAATCTCCGTGCTTGAGATGTCTTTTTCATCTATACATATAAAGCAAAAAGCAGAGAATGGTGAAACATTCAAAATACCAGAAAATGTAATTGGTTAATGCAAAAATTAAGAATTGAAATTATTAATTAAATGAGGATAATATGGTAAATTCACACTTTTTCATATTTTAAAAAATTAAAATTAAAAGAAAAATCATATAATGGCCTATTTTTATGGAACACAACTACCCATTATCATTTTCATAATTAGTCTATTAAAATAATAATAATTTTAGGCAAAAAATATTATTAAAAAGATAGTAATAATGTGTTAATCTCAGCCATTTATAATGTGTTAATCTAATGGTCAAGAACTAGTGTCAAAAATATGGTGCCACAGATCCACCCTGTATATATATATATATATATATATATATACACACACACACAAGTAGTAGTATTTGTCTCTTTAGTACCCTCTCATTGCCCCAGGCTCACAGCTGCTTATCTAAAACAAATATGTTATTGGAAAGCTTATTGACCATTGATGAGGGTGACGGTAAGGGTGAGCTAGCCATTAGAAGAGAATATGCATGGTTCAGTTCCCCAAGTCTTCTTAGTAAGTTATACAACGCCAAACTCAAACTACATATATATGGTTTGGGTTGGGACCGCCAAGTAAACAGAAATAACTACCCGAGCCTCTAAATAGCTTTCAAAGCAAATAAAAGTCTTTACCACAGTCGACAGTATCGCATAGAGATTCAAAATAGTCTTTAAAGTCGAAATAGCCATCTCGGACTACACATAATAAATATCACACAATGGTCAAAAACGACAAAAAACACATGCTCTCTAAAGAATATGAAAATTCTAGACTAGTTTCCCCTATCACTAACTGGCTAAGTGCATATGATTGAAGTGACTGTAATTGCATACCTTATAACACATGCACATTGCAGTGGCATTTTAGGAGATCCTTCCTCACGCAATTTGGAACTTCATGAATCTTTGCCCCAAATTTGAAGCACTTGCATTCATTTGTTGAAAATGCTTTAAAGAATGACCGACTTCGAGTTCATTGAGATCCCTTTCACTGTAACTGGCATGCTCGGCCTATCTCCCAGGTTACGCTGCACACATAAAAGACCTACATGCATGAAATAATCTCACAACTTCATGTGGATCACCTGAGATGTAAGACCCGTGTCTTGGGGAAACAAGAATGGTGAGCAATCCCGCATCGCTCGGGGAGGGAAAGGTGAAGTGCTTTAAATGTGTGGGCACTTCTCTTCCTAGCACGAGGCCTTTTGGGAGCTCACTGGCTTCGGATACTTAGGAACTCTGAAGTTAAGCGAGTTGGAGGCCAGAGCAATCCCAGGATGGGTGACCCCCTAGGAAGTTGGTCGTGAGCTCCCAGAAACAAAACCGTGAGGGCAGAGAGGGGAGCCCAAAGCAGACAATATCGTGCTAGGGGAGTCGGGTCGTGACATGAGATCCATGCCTAAAAGAATTTATCAAAAGTTCAAAATCATTGTGCTTACTTAAAAGAAGAAACAAAAAAAAGCAAGGAGTAAATCCTATGTTTCTCTTCCCACTGTCTCTAGCATCAACCCAACAAAACTATCCTCCATCGGATTTTAGCGAGTAGAACCCATCAATTTCGTATTCTGAGGACATGTAACCACTACAAACCAGTCAATCAAGAACTAAGTTCATAAGCAAAAATATTACAACATAATAATTAATTAAGCATCAGAACTAGGTATCGAGTCATTTTTAATCTCAAAAGTCAGTGTGTTAATGCAAATTTTAAAGAAAACAAGAGAAAAAAGAAACGTCTTTGGATATGGAACAGTCAATTGGGAGTTATCCGTCTCTTCATGATCATGTACAAAAAGTAAAGTCAAAACATATCAAACCAAAAGGTTGTTACTCTATAATTTTGGATTTGGACACAATTATCAAACTCTACTTTCAAAATTCGTCTGTTAAGATCAATGGATGACAGACATTACAGAAGTTTTTTTTTCTTTCTTTATCAATATCTAACTTCTCAATCTTTTTGCTTTCAAATATATTTCCTCCCCACTATTCAACTTTAGTATCCATAGCTTACTAATTGTCTTCCCAGCTACTCAACTTAAACTATATACTGTAGGGTTTCTAGTTTCTAATCAAGTTTCCAATGCTGCTAATTGTGAGATTTTTTAAGGGGAGAGACAGTTACAGAAAACTTTATCAAATTAATACAATTATCTTCTAATTAGAGTCAGACTCTCCATATATGTAGTGCAGACTAAAAGAAACACACCCTCACTGGTTCATCAGGTGTACTCAAGGTGAGCAGCCCTATATATAGTGCAGACTAAAAGAAACACACCCCTCACTGGTTCATCAGGTGTACTCAAGGTGAGCAGCCCTGGAATTCTTGTCCTTGTTGACCATAAGAACACTATCAATCTATTGGTAGTCTTTAATGAAAATGTCTTGTTCCTGTTAGTTGGAAAGAGTCAATTTCCCCACTAATTCTCTCTGAGTTTCTATTTTTTTTTTTGTTTGGCTTGGTTCCTGGTATTACATGGTAGTCTTTAACCCACCAATGAATTCTCCAAGTGTGGCTGCATCAAGGATGAAGCCTCCCCTAAAGAAAGAAACATCAATGAAGCTTTTGAGAGCACTTAATTAACTTGATATATGTAAATATGTAAAACAGCGGCCATGACAAAACAGTGCATTCAGAACATCAACATAGGATGCAAAAGCGATCCCACTGGAAGATTTAAGTTGGAAAAAAAAAAAAAAAACCACACATATTCTCAAGCAACATTTTTCTGATCAACTTCTAACACCAAACAATATATTAACTCTAATTCAAATCACAACATGAGTTGTTGAAATCATGATAGAATAAAGGAACAAACTTTAAGTTACACAAATCACAACATGAGTTGTTGAAATATTTCCAAAATTCATACAAATGACAAAAAAACGCTGGTCTCTTTGCATTGCAGGCTCCAAAATATAGCAAGGAATTCTTCATGGGGTCTTGGACACACCCAATCTGCAATCTGGGTTTTAATGACCTTGAACTTTATCCTATCACAAATTATGTTAAACCTTCTATATGATAGAATTTTACCACTCCTCTTTAGGGCTGTAGTACTAAATGGCCAATGCTGACTTTCGTGATGTGCAGAGATCCGTATCGGTGGTCTTCTTTTGTGTGTCTGTGTGTGAATGCTCAAACGTCCGGTTTCATATGTGACGCATATCAAACCTTAGTTGATTGCATAACATGAATTTATGATTTTGATAAGTCATGGGTTATGAGAAGACTATCTTTTGCAGCACTGGATTAATTCTTAGTTGTAGAGCACAGAGTCACTGCACCATGATGTCGAGAGACTGTTTTCTTTTCTTCTTTTTTTCTCTCATCAAACAAAAGGGAATGATCAAATGTCAAAATCTATAACAGAAATGCAATATCCAAAGAATGAAAAGCAGTCCAACCAAGAAGAAACTAGCAAATATTAGTGAATCAGCAAAACTTATGAATTTAGCAAATAAAGAACCTGAAGCTAGTTTCAAGCAGAAAAAACTTACTTGTGTAATATGAAGAGCCTGCTCAAGCCGCTGAATTCGAATCCATTTTTCTGTAACAATGTCAGCCATCTGAAAGCAAAGAGAAAGAAGCCAATGGCAAAATAAACATCACACTAACAACATCACACACTCATAGCCATAGACCAAAGATGGATTGAGTACATCAGTGCAAGACCTTTTGAGCCTGAGAGGCAACCGTTTCGAGTCTATCCTCGGCATCTTGTGCTTTAGACTCTAAAAAATGGGCCTAGGCGGGCGGCTAGACTGCTAGGCGGCTGGGCGGGCCTCCTAGGCGGGTTGGGTCTTTTTTCGGTGCCGAACCTGGACGACGAAGCAGCCGAAACCGAAGAAAACAAATCGAAGCTTGAGTTGATAGAGAAGCGAAACTTCGACTGCAACCTCCGTCCTCTGCGAGTGCAAGCTTCGTGTTCGTTTGGAATATATTTAAAGAGTATAGCCGGCCGGCTATACTCTTATAATATTCGAATATATTAATATTTCATGCGTATAGCCGAACGCCTATACTTGTTAAATACGTCGGCTATACGTTTAAAATATTCTAATATATTTGGCGAGTATAGCCGCCCGGCTATACTCTTTAAATATACAATTTTGTCATATCATTTTAAGGTTTGGGGCCGAAATACCACTTTAGTCCATTGGGCTAGAGTTATTTCTTCAATTATTTTATTTGTATAAGCGATATTGGGGAATGAGAATTTAAATTCTTTCCAATACCTCCCATTCTAATGATTTCCAGCTATTAGCCCATTGGGCAAAAATAAAAAATTGGATTTTATTTATAACAAATAACATGGGTTCAACCCATAAATACAACAACAAAAAATAGGATGTCAATGAACTCGAGGTCAATCCTTCTTCTAAAGCATTTTCAGCTAATGAAGTCACGGTCCTTTTACACTAAGGGAGGCTCGATAAACGATATTTCATGTTGGTGTGTTAATCTAGTGCTTTTGAAATTAGTTTGAAAAGTTAAATATAATTAAGAGATTCCCAACCCATGCGTTAGCAAATGCACCCTCTAAAGAAAACCTAGGTTTTATGCCTAACTATTTCCTATGTTTTATATCAACTAGCCTCTCCACACACGCTTCCGCGCCTGCGTGCGGCTTTTTTAAAAAAAAATTTTATTTTATTTTAGAATTATAAAAGATAATGGGTAGTTGTGTTCCATAAAAATAAAATCTTTTATCTGATTTTTCTATTTAATAGACTTGCTACTTATGTAAGCTCATGGGTTGTTTTATGGCCGTAAAAGCCCATCCTTATATTTGATCCAAAAAAACAAAAAAAACCCATCTTTGTAGTATGTGTTGGAAGTGTTTGTCCTATATTGAAATGTTTGTTTTGTTCTTTTTATTTTTTTAACTCAATGAAGTGCTATGTATAATAATTTTCATTAATCATGGGAGTCATCGGTAATTTTAGACGACATGTCGCAAGAAAGGCTATCACTACTGGACTAATACAAGAGGATGGGCCAATGCGAATTGAAAGTGAGGACACGCGGCCAAGTCCAGGGTCGAGGCAATTAAGCAAACCAGTCCAGTCCACTAACTCATAAATTATAAATTATAATTTAAAATACAAAAGGAACGACATCGTATGAAGAAGAAAACCTTCCTATCCATAAAGGGCGCCTGATCTCTCAAATGATAAAACAACCCTCGGCCCCTCAGAGTCCCAAATGAGAGTGAGAGCAGATCTTTGAAAATGAGAGATGAGAAACAGAGAGAAGGTCTGGAAACCCTAACAATGGCATTGGCTCTGTGATCGGAGCCTTCGTTGGAGATCAGAGGCATGAGCGTGAAGAAAGAGAGAGACGACGGGGCATGAAGAAAAGCTCCTCCAATGCGATTCTTGTTTTGCGAGGTTTAACGCCTCGATGGCCGCCATTGATCCACGATCGGATCCGTTCAACAGCTCACTGTTGAAATCGCGTTGTAATTAACACCAAGACCAGAGATCTGATGGGGCTAGGTATGGGGGTTCCAGGACCCGTCAAAGTTGATTTTGAAATTTAGGGTTTACTTAGGTTTATGGTTTACGGAGATCATTGTTTTTTATTTGATGGAGCGACTTGCCTGAGGAATTAATTAGTAGGTCGGTCTTTAATTCAATGCATTAATGCGTTCGCTGTGTGCTTCCATTCCAGCTACACTCCCTGGCAGCTTGCTCAAGATTCGATAGGGTGCAATGTGGATTGATAGGCACTGACAGCGGGCCTTCCATATCTTTAAGGTTTTACTCCTTACTCATTTAAGCATGTGCATGTATGTTTTTCTTTTGTAAAATATCATTTTTTGTTTTTAATGGAAACAAAATGAACAAATTAAGTTTCCAGAGGTAAATAGCATAGTATTGTTGAAAACTTGAACGATATATCTGACAAAAAACAAAATTGGCACACAAGCGCTTTGAAATAGCATATTTTTGTTGAATGATATTTTCTGATATGAGGGAGTGGGGGACGGTACCTTACATATGGAATCAGGAACATTTGTGACATTACATCAGTGATACACGGTGGCGTGATGAATTTAAAAGTAATCATTTGTAGCAAGATCGGATGGTCTAATAACCATGCATAACTAGACTGTTCAACAACTTGATGTTCCGACAAAAAGAGAACATCAGATGATGGGGTTTCTCTAACTTTCAATATAAGATGAGGTTAAAGACATTAGAAAGTGAAAAATCATAAATGGGTTAGTGCATTATTCAAATATTGTCGTACACAATGTTCTAGGCAATGTCAGTAATCTGAGTGTTTTAATTAGACTCTCCCTTTCTCTACTTTTCAAGTTAGGATGAGATTGCAAGGAGTCTCAGAAGTTCTCAGCATTTTCTTTTGCATCTATGCACCCAAGCAATGTTTATAGGTAAATTTGAAGCAGTAAATTTCATAGAACTAAATTTTATCTGCCCACATTGTCAAATATATATCGACAATAGATTGGCAGTTATAAATTTAGAAGCTTATTCAGTCTCTCTCTTTGGTGTTCTATTATATTTCCTAGTTGTAGTTGGTACATATCAATCTTAATTTGATATAATTTCTCATTCATTTTTTGTTATCTATTGACTATACCGTTGGATTGTGTAAAAGCTGGAAGATAGATAACATATATAATTTCTGTTTTAATTGTATTTCCGTGTATTGGCAGGTATTCTTTTTGGTAGTAAAATGTTGTTTAAAATGAAGTTATGAATGGACAAATATAGTAATAGAGTATTTTAAAATGTTTCTTCAGGATGTTGTGTGCTGGTTTGCGATCTTTACCGTTCAGTGGTTATCCCACACCAAATGTTCTTCCTATGAGTTGCAGCATCTTGCATTTTAAATAAAAGAACCTGTTGTTCTATGTTCTTTTTTATTATTGACATAACGAACTGTTCTTCCTATCTTTCCCACTTGTTGCATTTTAACTTTTTATTTTATTTTTATTATATGGTTTTTTGATATCCTTTTATGTTACTACCTGTGAAGTTTGTCCACATTTTAAAGACATTATTCGTTCCTGAAATGCCAGCGCTGGTGATTTTTGAGGATTGATGTTTCTTCTAGAACTAGAGACATGCAATAATGTCTTTTGTTTGTTCGTTCGTTCGTTAGTGGGACGCTTTCTTATGTTTGTTTGTTGTGTCGTACACTTGCACATTCAGTAATTCTGCTTCGGTTCAACTTATTATTTTGCACACTGACCATCTGGTTTATTTCAGTCTTATTCCAATTGTTATTATTTCTGATGGTTCTAATTGTTTTATTAATTGTTTAACTGTTTTTTTTTTCCCTATCTATAAACCAAAAAGGCTACCAGGATTTCGCCTCAAATTTCCTTTTGGTTTTTTAGAGTGCTGCGGATTGTAATTATTACTTGTATTGCATGCATGGATTAGGCCCAAAGATTTGTTGGATCGATTCTTCCAACCCGCAATATTAAATTGGGCGTGGTCAAGTTTAAGGGTATATTATAAACGACCAAATAGGACCACTTAAAGGCCCATGAAACACAAAATTGGCCCAATTAATAAGCCATAAACGATCAAAAAGGCCCACTGAAAAGCACATGAAAGGTAAATAGGCCCAATGCGGGGCCAATAAACTACAAAGTACGCGGGAATAATGGTCACTAGACGACAAAGTAGGCCCAATGAAGGGCTACTAAACGACAAAGTAAGGCCAAAGAAGAGTCGTTAGGCGACATAACAGTACCAATAAAAAGTCACTCAACGACAGAATAGGCCCAACAAGGGGCACTCAACGGCCAAATTGGCCCAATGATGGGGCAGTACACTACCAATTGGCCCAATGATAAAATACTAAACGACAAAATAGGCCCAATAAGGGACACTAAACGACAAAAAATGCCCAATCAATGACCACAAAAAGACAAAAGAGGCCCAATGAAATATACTAAACGACAAAATAGGCCCCAAATAAGGGACAATAAACGACAAAATAGGCCCAATCAATAACCTCAAAAAGACAAAGGAGGCCCAATGAAATATACTAAACGACAAAATAGGCCCAATAAGAGACACTAAACGACAAAATATGGCCCAATCAATAAACACAAAAAGACAAAGAGGCCCAATGAAATATACTAAACGACAAAATAGGCCCAAAGAAGGGACAATAAACGACAAAATAGGCCCAACTAAGTACCATTCCTATTTTGTCGTTTTTGAATCCTTTAATGGGCCTTTTTTGTCGTTTAGTGACCTTTATTGGGCCTATTTTATCGTTTAGTGAGCTTCATTGGGCCTATTTTGTCGTTTTATGATCCTTTGATAGGCTTATTTTGTCGTTTAGTGACCTTCATTGGGCCTATTTTGTCGTTTTACGATCCTTTAATGGGCTTATTTTGTCTTTTAGTGTACTTTTATTGGGCCTATTTTGTCGTTTAGTATGCCATCATTGGGTCTATTTTGTCGTTTAGTGAACCTGTATTGGGCCTATTTTGTCTTTTTACAATCCTTTAATGGGCTTATTTTGTCGTTTAGTGAGCCTTCATTGGCCCCTGTTGTCGTTTTACGATCCTTTAATGGGCTTATTTTGTCTTTTAGTGTGCCATCATTGGGCCTATTTTGTCCTTTATTGGGCCCATTTTGTCATTTGATCGGTCTTCCTTGGACATATTTTGTCGTTTAGTGTCCCTTAATTGGCCATCTATATGGGCTCATTCTGTCTTTTAAGTACCTTTCATTGGGCCCGGTTTGTCGTTGTTGGGCCTATTTTGTCGTGTATAGGACCTTTAGGGGCATATTTTGTCGTCAATGGACTGTTAAGCGTAATTACATCGTTCGTGGGCCCTTCGTTGGGCTGACTTCGTGGTTTATGAGCCTACATTGACGTCAAAATCATCGAAGCATATACGGGGGCGTTCGACTTGACAAATGTTGGAGCTATTGGGGCACGTTCACTGTTATTGGGTTGCTTTGAACGGTGAAGGGGCCAATACTTTCTCGGACTGAACACGTAAGCCCACAATTGATAATGGTGCAGGTCCAGAAATTCCAAAATCATAAAAAAAAACAGCAAACTATTCTAGTTATTGGGCCTAACCAGTGAAAATGCATTTCAGCAAACTATACGCAGATTATAATTTCCATCCAATAACAAAAATTAGACCTATTGACTAAATATAACATCTAATAAGAAGTGGATCCATGCACAGAAAAAAGAAACAACAAATAAATTGTCCAGCAACCTTTAATCCTATTTGAAGAAATTTGACATCAAATTGAGGAATATACTGTAACATACTAATGTTCCACTGATGAGAATATGACCATGATTCTGCAAGGGCAAAGACAGTTTACAAGTCTGACAATGTTAAAAAAGGACAAATAATAAAGGGAAACGGATAACCCTCAGTCAGTTAGAAAACAGTCTATTTTGACATCACTAAGAAATAATCCAGTGCTGCAAAAGACAGTCTTCTCATCACCCCTGACTTATCAAAATCATGTTAAGAAATTAATAAAATATATTACTATAAATTTATGTTAAGCAATCAACTAAGGTTTGACATGCGTCACATATGAAAACGGACGTTTGAGCATTCACACACAGACACACAAAAGAAGAAGACCACAGATACGGATCTCTGCAAATCACGAAAGTCAGCACTGTCCATTTAGTACTACAGCCCTAAAGATGAGTGGTAAAATTCTATCATATAGAAGGTTTAACATAATTTGTGACAGGAGAAAGTTCAAGGTCATAAATCAAACCCAGATTGCAGATTGGGTGTGTCCAAGACCCCATGAAGAATTCCTTGCTATATTTTGGAGCCTGCAATGCAAAGAGACCAGCGTTTTTTTGTCATTCGTATGAATTTTGGAAATTACACTTCCATCAAATCATACTTGTCCCTGTGTTGTGGCGCCACTTGTAAAGCAGGTAGGGATGGGCAATGGGCAATGGGTTACCCATTACCCATTGGCGCCACATAAGATAGGATCTATTTGAATAACTCAAACCCAAAGGTTCTTTCAGTTGCCCCTAACAAACTCTAGGAAGTTGAATGAAATGCTTAAGGGAAGCAGGGTTAATATCCTATATAAATAATGGTATGGTTTAATCTTACATGATAAATTGAAATTTTTTACAAAGTCCTATATGTATTGAAATGTCACTGTCTGCGTGTGTGTGTGTGTGAATGAGAGAGGAAAAATAGGAATGGAAGGATGAAGGTCCTTTTACTAAGGCTTCTCTTTTCCTTCCCACAGGCTTGTCACAAAATTCTACAGAAGTACCACATCTTCTTATGCTTTAAAGTTTAAGACATAAGAAACTATCATAAGGCTTAAACAGCGGCTCACTTAAAGACCAGACATAACACGTTGTAAAGAAACAGGAACAAGTGGTGGTATAAAATAAATGTGCCTGTATGAGAAATTTTTGGAGCATCCTTTGCATAGGATTTAGAAAGTGATTTTCCTTTGAAACCAAAGTTCATACTTTCTTTTCATACAAAACGCTACAAAAGAAAATGGAAAATCAAAACGTCTTTAACAAATACATAGTTTATACACTGAGCCCAAAGTAACTTAAATTTGGACTCAGGACACATTTAACTATACTTATGTAGATAATGTAAAAACGGTTTTTCTCTTTCTCCCATTTTTTTCACTCTGGATCGAGAAGATTTAACTAATAGTAATGGATAAAGTTGGAAATATAAACAGAAAAATAGAAAAGGAAAACTCATTAGTGCTTCTCCTTTTTCACCACCAATTTCTTGTCCTCAAAATAAGGGAGGATATGAATTTGGTGATCAGAAGAACGCTCTCTGCTATCTGTGATCCCAAATCTTTACGAAATGCATCCGGTGCACACCTACATTGAAGAACCCTAATTTGACTCCACTCCATAAACTTCATTTATTGTTTCAATGCTATTATTTCTACAACTATTAGATTTAAAGCCAATCAGGTATCACCGCGTGTGGTGAAACCCTAAGCGTTCTTCTATCACGCAAAGGAACCCTAGAATTAATACAAGAAAAATGTGTGAACAGAAGAATGGGGCAAAGATGCTTACCCTTATTAACACAAGTCTATCATCACGCCGAGAATGAGGAACCCTCGGACGGCACCATCGAGATCTCGTACATTCTCGATGTGTTTCCCTAAGCAAAAACACATCCTCTTCCGATCTAAATACAAAACCCTAGAATTAATACAGGAAAAATGTGCGAACAAAAAGATCGGGTAACGGCGCTCACCCCTATGGACGACATCGTAGACATCTCGTGAGTGTATCGTCTCCATTGACGGTGGCCTGCGAAGCCGCTTCGTTCTCCTTTGCCATCGAAAAGCCCTAAACCCAAACGATGCTAGTAATTCTCAGGAAGCTAGCATCGTCGTCATAGTTGCAAAAGTAAAAATGAATTCCATGAAAAAGACAGAAGCACAATTTTCTCTAGCAAATCATAAACTCGGGCCTTGAATTTCTAGAGAAATGTTAACCTTGGGCCCTGATTGTTTGAAGAAACCCTAGCCCCTCGGCCTTGATTGGAAAACCACAATAGATAGTAGAATGAGGCCACGGAGTCGGCCTTATGAATGGCCCAAGGCGGGTCCCGATAGTTACAGTCCTTTTACCGTGGTAAAAAGACCTTCTTATCCTTGATGTTTAAGACTGAAATGAAGACGTGTCCATTTGTTAAGTGTTTTCTTTCTTAACAAATCAAAAGCAATAATTTTTTTCCTTAATGATATTAAATTTTTAACCATTTATTAAATGCAAAAGACATATTGGGTGGAATGAGAAAATGTATTGTACATCAACTTGAAATTGCCATGTCAGCTATCAATTTCAATTTGATGTTTTAGATTGGAGAGAGCTGCATGCTCGTCATGCTGCAATGTGAGATCAAATGAGCTCCTTGCAAATTCTTGGAAGACAAAAGGACAGTTTCTGAAGAACTGCAAAAGAATGAAAACAAATAATTGCTAGAAGAATGCTCTAAGTATTATATTCCTGCGTGACTCAAGCCAAAAGTTGAATTTAACAACCAAAAACATAGCTACATAAACAGAATTAGTACGATAAATTGAGATATGCTCAGTTTACAAAATTGGTTAACAGCATTTATTTCGTCATCAACACAGTACCGTAGATCAAATGGTGAATGATGGCTTGCTTAGAGAGAAATCCTCCCACAAAGACGCCAGAAAGCTTTATCATGGAAGAGAGATTTTTCAAATACCCAGATATCACGGACAAGGACCTACAGAGCAGAGTAAGCATATTAGCATCACAGAAAAGGGGGGAGGGTTAAGTCACAGAACATGAGGAAAAATTTAGTCAGCAACCCCATTATACAAAAGATATTAATCCACTTTACCTCCTTTGATTTATCTCCCGAAACAATGGAACCATTTGAGTCGTATGCTTCGAACTTCTGCCAGAGAGAAAAAGGAAAAAGAAGTATTCTCAGTGGATGAAAGTTTTGAATTAAGAGCAGTAAGTTATGAACAGATAAACGTGGTCCTCAGTTCAAGCAGACAGTGAAAGAAAGCACCATTGAAAGGATAACATGATAAAATGAATCCTGAGTCCGGCCGCCCATATACCTGCTTTGTCAGAAACTCAAGTGTAAGCTGTATGAACACCTTCTCAAGATCGTTCCGATCAACACCAATCTGTAAAAGAGGGGAAAAGGCATTCCATATAAGACACCCGGTCTGCTAAAATTTAAGGAAATATTCAATTGTTACCATTTTTCCTTGGTAAAGCATCCTAATTCAATTCTGTAAGAACAGGATGGAGTAACCTTCCTTGGTTAAGCACCCGGCGTAATAATATTTAAGGAAATATTCAATTTATACTCTAATTAGACAAGCAATTACCAGTCGTGCTCGCAAAGTTCGTATTTTCACAACTGGTTCCACCATTTCCCAGTAGACCTTATTCCATATGGAGTCTCTTTGTTTTATTTCATTCTTTAGTTCCTGTAAACGAAAAGATAATAAATAATGTCTCAGAACCTCAATAGCAATCCCTTTACATCAGAAAAAGCAGCATAACTACAGCAGAAACCAAAACTAAAAAGAACAGAAGCATACGGAAAACATTTTCTCTGTAACTGCTTTCCTTAAAGAATTTTTGTCCCCATTTGCCATTAGAGTATTTATCTGGAGAAGAAGGTGAATAAATTAGCTACAGGAAGAAGATCATACAGTGCAGCTGAAAGAGGCAAGAGAAAATTGAAAGGCCAAAAAAAAAAGCTAGAACATAAGAAATTTTCGTTTAAATTGGAAGTAAGAGTTAAAAGGGCACTACACTATTACAACTATTTATAAAATACAGAATGCATAAGACCTAGAGAGAAGAAACTAAGTAGGAAAAGACAAAGATACCTCCTTGTATAACTGTATCGCTTCTTTGTAGAATAAATTCTTTGAATAGCCCTTCTTTCTTAATTTAGTAATGGCATATGCACTTTTGAGCTGACAATTGGAAAAACAGAAATATGTCAAACATAGATGTTGAATATTAGGCCTAAATTGACTGAATTATAAATAATTAAACTTCTGCATTCTAAATTAAAATGAGTTACATTCCTCTAACACCAAGGCAACATAAATAAATTACAGCGGATGGCATCAGATAGCCATCCTAGTAGTAGTCTATGCATCAAACCAAAACATAAAAAGGAGTGGAATTTAGAATCAAAATATGGGGGATGGAGGACAGCCATGAAAGAATAGAAGAAAGAAGCTTCAACAGATTAACCAAAGGCTTGAATCAATAAAACAAGATAGTTCTGTTTAAGCTGAATCTCTGAATCTTCACCTCTAAAACTATATCTTCTTTTGTTCTTCTCCACCCACTTCTTGTGAACCATCTGATACATAAAACATCAGAATGTTCATATATAAGGACAGGATATTATAGAACAAAAATATAAGTAATCAAGTCTTAACAGTTGTCTAGGGATACTGAAGCTGAGAGAGTTTGAATGATTACTAGTGAGTGACTCTTGGTAGAGTACTAGAGTTCCATCAATATGCAGGCCTACTCAAATTACCACAATCTACAAGATCAATAAAATTCACTTTTGAAGTAACTAACCTCTTGAGAAATGAGATTTTTTCACGAGGTGTATAAGGCTCGTAGATAAACCCTGGACTCAACATGGCAACTTTAAGAGCTCCCTGCACATATCATAAGGTAACCACACATGGTATTATGGTTTGTCTTGCATACGAGCAGACTAAGAAAATTAGAATAACATGGGCAGTTTTTTTATGTGCACAAGATGACAGATACAACTCTAACCTGTAAAAATGGATACTTCAGTAAAGCAGAAATGGAATATATTAACAAGAAGCAAAACACTAACCACCAGCCACATAAACTGAACCGGAACAGTTACAGTATGAACAGTTGAGCAAAAAGATAGCATACCATTTGTCTTGCTTGTGCAGGGGCTTTTACTTGTGTTGATAGCAACCTTGTGTCATTCAAGAAGATGGGTAACTCAACAGCCTAAATTCAAAACAAAGAAATAATAAAAAGGGAAGCTCAATGAATTGCAACATTCACCAAGAGTTATAGACACATAATAAAAAAAATGAGCATGGGCATCCAACTGATTCAAGTTATAATTTTAGAAACTCACCATTGCAGACCGCAATGTGATAGAACTTCCATGGGTCCAAGGAAGGGCTCCATGGCCCTTGTTCCGGCAATAAAGTTCAGGGACTGATGACAAAGAAAAGCATGTCAATTGCTAAAGAATTTTACGCCAACCCAATAAAGCAATGAGAAATTACTTCATGAATGCCTCTGGCAGAAATTTACCAGTTGAAATACCACTTGCATAGCTTCTTGAGCTTCCAAGCCTGAAAAGTTAAAAAAAAATACCGTCTTTTAAAACTGGTTTTGCCGCATAAATACCAATTTCATTAATCAAAAGAAGCATTTTCAATTCCCCTGAATTGTGCTTCCATTGTGTCATCTCAAGCTTTGAACAAAAAGTAAAATTTTCAATTCTCAGAGACCAAGCAGAGCATTAACCAATCATTTCTACTCACAGATGGGACGATTCTGATATCTGAGCCGTACGATGGAGAGCTCGAATCTGGTGTAAGCTTCTGAAAGCCATCATTAATCACAAATCTTCGAAACCCCAATTTGAGTTTCTATCAACAACATGGAGATCGACAATAGAGAGAGAGAGAGAGAGAGAGAGAGAGGTTTTGTGTTTTCATTAATAGGGTTTAAGGAGGAATTATACGGTGCTTCGCAGTGTACCGATATCATGGGTCGATGGACTATCATCCTTCCCTTTTCCCTTTTCAATAAATAAAATTTTCAATTTTCAATTAAAATAAAAGATTATTCTTTTTTGACAGAGGAAACGAGTAAACTCCAATTTATTATTATTATTTTTCAAATGAAGTTATATCTTATTTTTCATCAATATTTTTTATTTCATTTATTTTCACTTAGAAAACATCAGTCAGTCATTAGGCACCTCTGAGAAATTGGAATACACTCATAAATATGCATAAATATGCTCATTTGCAACAAGTACAAGGAAGTTCAAGCACTTACATTACATTGTGAGTAAATTGACTATAATACAATTTGAAAACTATTGGCATTTCTATTTCCAAATTTAAGAAAGAAAGAGGAGGAAACTTTGCTCAAATGTTCTAACTACAGCACCAGCCCCACTCTCTCACTTTACATACAGACAAGAACAACAAGCTCCTAATAAGTTTATTTGTGCATCAAAAAAATTAAAAAATAATTAGAATAATTACTTTTACTGTATATTTATTTAGCCTTTGATTTCAAGGAGTATGTTCTGCAGCTTCTGCTGCACCACTTGGTGAACCAGGAACAAATGGAACAAAACCCCGTCCACCGAACACCGGTCTCATGAACTTGTCATCAAATTTTCTCCACAAGTAGTGAACAGTTGAAGTTGGATGAGTCATCAGTAGCCTGAAGCTACTTCCCTTTCTGGCCGGCTGGCTGTTGCCTTCCCCACTTGGCTCACCTGGTTCCAGGAACAGAAGCCTTAAGTCTTCTAGACTTGGGATATCAGTTGCATCAGAAGTGTTTGATTTTGCATGTTGCAACAGCAGAGCTGAGATTAATGGCTTTGTTATGGAGCCAAAGACCTGTTTGGATAGGAGGAAAAAGATTTCCAAAACCAATTTCAGTGACCAAGCACAAAATGGAGCTTAGTGCAATATAAGTAACAGAAACAGAAGCCGGCATACCACTGTGCTGAATAGAACAACAATTATGGTACTGGTGATCATCAAGGAACTATCTTGTGTCGACGTTGAACCGGAGCTGTCTGCAAACTGCATTAGTAGATTGTGGAAGTCAGAACTTGAGAAGAACCCAAATACATCTTGATATGTTAGGACTTGAAACATCATCAACTTACTTGGCTGTATGACAAAGCAATAGTGACTGCACCTCTCATTAGGCCTGCCCACCACATAATAAACTGGCATTTTCAAAAGAGTCAGTCAATTTGGAAGAGCAGTTGAATAACAATTACCCAAGCGCTTAGGTGCTTCAGATTAGTACCTGGTTACGGAACTCGATTTTCGTACCCTCTCTTTTCTTAAAACAATTTGTAATGTTTGCAATTGGGAAAACAAATGCCGCCCTTCCAATTAATACGAGTGCAAACAACAGTGAACTGACACCAACTGAAGTTCCTGGACTGAACCAAAGAGAATGTTACAAGTCAAGCATAACAAGTTTCAACATTAAAATTGAATTTTGCAACTTTTGACCTAAATTCATATACAAATCTGCCTATCAACTACAAGCTCTGGAGTGTGAAAGAGAATAGTAAGGTTACCTTGCATTGCTGGCTTTCCATTTGTCAATGTCCAAGGCATCCATACCAACATAAAGGAATATAAAGGTTTCTGCAATGAATGACATTGTTGCAAATGCATGCCTGAAATAATCAAACAATACAAGATTACGACATGTATCGAGTTCCTTTCGTTCTCATACTAATGTTTGAGATTAGCAATTTACAACCAGCTATCTTTGGGCTCCTCAGTCAGACGAAATCAAAAGAGGATTCTGTTCTTACTTGGTTGTTATCCTTGAGTTTTCTGTAACGTTGTGCCATGTGTAGTGGGACATAACTATGCCAGAGAAGAAAACGGTCAAAATTCCACTGAGACCCATAAGCTGCAAAAGAACAAATTTGTAAATATTGAGATCACAATGTATCCAGTTAAACATTACATACTACAGAGATTTCAATATTTTCAGAAAAGAGGAAAAGAAAACAAGACTAGTACTTGAGTAATTCATATTGAGATTCTTTGTTTAGGTACCTCAGCCAACATGTATGACAAATAAGCCATAAGCATCATGAGGGCACATTCACGATCTGTAGAATGTCTGTTGGAAAGAGAATCAGAATTTCAGGGAAATTGGTAGAAGTAAGTTTCACAAGGATTTGAAGTGTTTGCTCATACCTTCCAAAGTAAAGTGTTTTTATGATATAAGCGCTAAGTAGGCCCGCCTGAAACATTGTAACAAAAGCAAGTTAGAACATAGATGCCAATAAACTAATGATTCTGTGCAGTAACTAAAACACCCAGCAATCAACTTACTGCTATACCAAGAGCAGTACTGGTGAAGAAGAGGTAAAGAAAAGTCCCCAACAATTTCAAGGCTGTAAGAGCGCCGATGTCGCTAACGTCTAGCGATTGTACTGCATTGAAAAGCACAATGGAAGTAGCATCATTCACTACTCCCTCCCCGAAAACGACACTGTAAAGAAAGGGCGTCTCATCTTGATTAAGAACCTTTAACATGAGAAGAAGATGAGGCCTCAAAGTTAGACATCAGTTCAAGAAACATGTGTTTGGAATGAGACTATAAAATTACCTGCAATGTACAAACTGAATCAGTTGCTGACAATATGGCACCAATAGCTGCACACAAAGGAACCAGTAAGCACAAAATGATCACTATAGAGCCATGAACAGAGATATTTAATATCAAGACAATGATTCAGAGGGAGATTTTTAGTCACCTAGGAAATCTTGAAGGGTCAGAGTTGTGAAACCAAATCTTTTGAAAAGTAAATAGGCTCCTACACAGTTTTCCCAAAAGAGCAATGGAGGAGTTAGTGTTCAAATATATTGTTGTCAGTCTATAAATGTATGGTGGAAGTGGAGGAGAGATTGCAAGTCTTTACCTAGTGATATGAGGCAGAAAGAAATTACTGTACCAACTATTCCAAACAACAAAATTGTGGTGAAGTTCTTGAAAAATTTCTTTTTCTTGACCTGGAAACTGAAGAACGATCAAAATAAGAGATCCAAAACCGATTTGGGTGAAGAAACTAGGTATCAAGCATGTCCAATCAGAACCCATGTGACAAGTTTCAAGCTTTGCAGTCAAAATACAATACTCAAGATCTGAAATTTATCTTCACCAGAGAAATTTCAAACCCCACATTAAAATCTATGTTGCTTCATTGAGCATTGCAGAGGACTGGAGCCTTGAAACTGAAATACTGGAATTGCATAGAATTGAGATTTCTTCATACCCAGCATTGAAAATGATTGGGGGAAGTAGATAGAGGAAGAACAAGTCTTCATTAAAGACCAGAATACGCGAACTCTGGAACTTGGTCACCAGCAACACCACAAGCCCAGCAACCAAACCCTGTTTCCAACAACACATACAACACAAAAATATATAATAAAAAATATATAGAAAATAAAAAATTGCATATAAAAACTAAGTGACATAAACAAAGGGTACAATTTTACATACCAAAAGAAGGGCAGTAATGGATTCATTGGCCCAGCGGTTCTCTTCCAACAAATGACCAATTATGATGCAAGCGCAGAGGAGGGTGAAGAACACACATATTGCAATAACAGTGCTGGTGCTGAAAATGGAATCTTGGAGTGTCGACTGAGACTGTATGGATTCAAGAGCTGCCATTTTTGGGTTTCTTCTGCAGCTGAATTGGTGGGCATTCACCTGGTCGGTTCTGAGAGTTGGAGAGAATATGGCAGGAGAAAGAGAGTAGGGACCATGAAAAAAAAAATTAAGTTTCTACAACTTATGAGGCTTGTGTTGTGTAGCTGGTTTTGGCTTTGAATTTAAGACCAGGAGTGGACCAGAAAAAAAATATGGAGGGAAGAATGGTAGTTGATGATGGGGTTTGGATCGTCTGCAATGAAATCTATTTTCAGCTGCTGCAGTTTGTCAAGTGGCACTACTTGTTTGCTTGTCATTCTTTGTTCTGGTTTCTCTTTTCATTGGCTTATTGGATGGGATCAGTTTTGAGTTTTTACACGGGGATTTCTTAAGAAGGCTCTCCTGTTGAAAAGGGCAATTAATGATTCACATGAGAAGTTGGTGTGCCCATTTACTTGGAGACTCATTAATGTTCACAGTATTGTATGTTACAAAGGAGAAGTATGGCAGTTTTTTTTTTTCCTTCTTGTATTTAAGGAAAAGAGCTAAAACGGTAAATATTGGTTAGGCTAGTTGATTAGGATAGTAAGCCCGCTCTCAACATCCAATCCAAGTTCGAGTCTCCCTCCCTCTAAATGATGTGCCGCTCACACACACAGACAAACAAAGAAAACCAAAAAGATAGGAGGACGTGCGTATGTCAAACATGGGTGGTGCTAGAGGCACCAACTTTGGGCACCAACTTGCTCACCAACTCTTTAGAGAGTTGGTGAGCAAGTTGGTGCCTCTAGCATTTTCCCGTCAAACATATGTCTGATAATCAAAACTCTAAAAAGCCTCCTCATCAGTTGAGGTCCACAGAGATAGACAAACGTGGCTCTTGACACGTTCCAATCAATTCAAACCTTTGGTTAGATCTATCTCTAATTTTTTTCTTCTTTATTTTTATTTTTATAATAATTTCTTTGGGTACTAAAAAGCCTTCTACAACTGATTCTTCGGGTGATGAATGGATATAAATACTGTCAAGGTCTTTGTAGGGCCCACCATGGAACCATTGAGTTGGGGTCATTTTCCAGATGATTAATTATTATTGTTGTGATCGTAGTATGACTATCAAGTTAGAAAAACTCAGTGAAATCAAATCACACATGTGTGTTTCATTTCATCAATTGACTTGTAACATGCTTCTTCACCTAATTATTGATCTATACTTGAATCTCCTTTTCTTTTTGGTCCACGTTTAATTATGCTGATTTCATTCAAATACATAAAGTTGATAATGATTGATAGATTGATAAGCAAAAGACTTAATGAGCACGCATAATTAACTTGATCACCGCCTTTAATGTATCAAGTTTAGATTATCGCTTGTACTAAAAAAAAAGTTAGTATTGTTTGTTTGTTTTTTCTATTTACAACGAGACAAGGGAACTGAAATCATTGAGATTTATTTAAATAGACTCAGACCACGGAAATCATGTCAAGTCAAGATCTCATTATATCACAGATTTTCTTAGATCAAATAATAATTTTCGGATTTGAGGTGAGGGAGGGAAGGAAGATGCTCTACAAAGTATAAAATAAAACACTTGTTAATGATCAGCTCGATCGAACATGGCCAGGCCACCGTATCTTTATTATAAATATATATATACATATAAATTACCAAAAAATGAAAACGTTATAAATTATCAAAAAATGAAAACATTATACATTACCAAATAAAAAATCAATTATTATACAAGTACGACGGACCACATGCAAGGTTTTTACTAGTGCACATGGATGTGATGTGAAATTCGAAAATGATATATTTCCATGACTTCTTCTCTATAACCCTTTTAATTTTAAATAGGTATTAAATTAAATAATTCCAGCATTTTCTTATTTAATGAAATCCATCAAATATTTCTCTAATTCAAGCATCGGTCTCTTCAATTTCAACATTAGATTTGAGGAATAGATCAGCCCATTAAGCTAAAAAGATTTCGCAAACCCAAACCTCAACCAATTCAAAACTCAAATGGGCCTCCACGACTTAAAGTCCAAAACGCATGCCTCACAAAACAAAACGCAGCTTAGGCTTAATAAAAGAGCAAAGGACCAACGGGTAAATATATTCTCAAAAGAATTTAAATGAGGTTAGTTCAAGAATGTTGGAAATTAGAAGGTGCTCCTTGTCAAATCTCAAAATTTTAAGCTGCAGTGCAATGCAAGCCGCCGCCTTTCAAATTCAGCCTCCTTAAAAAGACACTACAGAACAGTCATGGATATGGCAGCAGACCGAAGCTTCACGCCGTCATCGTTCCACTTCGACTGCGGGGCAGTTGCTCCAGCAATGTATGTCTGTAACAGAACAAAGAAGAGACAAAGATTTAACTTATCCAACATAAACATAGAAACCATTTGCATGAATGATTCTATGACATGGGACATTTGACAAAGAATCTTTGCTATGCAAGTCTGGTTTATATTTTGCTCATCCATGATTCTTGACAAGAAACAAGTAAGAAGTGTTTTGGAAGTATGTGTTGACAAACCTTTCCACCATTAACAGCAGCTACAAGTGCTGCATGCTGTTCTTGTATACCAAACTCGTAGAAATAATAAGTCCTGAAATGTGTCACGGCATTGGGACAACATGTATCAGGAAAGATTTTGAAAATCCTATTTGCAAAAGCGGCCAAAGAGAAGTTATGCTTGCTTCCATAAAGTAGAAGGGAGTATATAGCATAACAAGCATGGCTTCCTTCTTGAGAGAGAAAAGAGAGAGATATTGAACTTACCTGAAACCTTCTTCTTCCTTTATCTTTATAGTTCGAGCAGAGTATACAGTTGATCCAACTGCAATTTCAGAATTATTAGGATTAAGAATGAATACCATATATAACTGGAGGAAATACGGAGAGACGCAAACTAGAGGCCCACGCACATTCCATATATGAGTTGTCAGGACAAAGAGAACGTAAATCTAGATCAACGCTTACAGAAAATTAAACTTATATATTGAAGTTTTTGGTTTACGGAATCAGAGAGGCTGAGAAAACAGAAATCATGCTACAATATACCTGGAATGAAGATTTTTGCTGCCTCCTTCAAGGAACCTAAATCTGTTATGTCTTTGGCCTGTCCAAGTTAGCATATATTAGATAAACTGTACATTAGTATTTATCAAGCAGTTTAGAGAGAGTACATAACAGAATCACCTAATATGGGTTCATACATGATATCATGGAAGTTGTTATGCTTCTAAAACCTGATCAGCCATGAATAAGATGGTTACTTCAATCTAAGATATCCATATATTACAATGCTTATGTCTTAAAAGCCAAAATGTCTGAAGGGTTGACAGGGAACCAAAGGCAAGAATTACAACAGAACATTTCTGATAAGTGCATATTTTATAAATGCAAGAGTCATGTCACCCATGACACGAGCTGAAGAGAGCGAGGGGAGAAAGAGAGCCAATTCTAAAACATAACTATCAACCAAATCCATGCATCTAATGAGAAGGTTGGATGACAAAAGCTCAACAAAAAACCACTCTAAGAGGAGCTAAAGCATGTCAAATATAACCACAGAAGCTCAACACCTCCAGATTCCATCATTCTCCTCACACAAAGAACAGAAAACATAACAGCAAGCCTATGCAATAAAACACTACCGTTATACCCATCAAACATTCCATTTCGCCAACCACCACCTCAATCAACATAGTGGTTATAAACCAAAAATTTCTTGAGAGAACGAGAAAAAGGCACAATATCCACCGAACTAACGCGTTACTGTTGTTAATTCACGTGTGTGCACACACATGTGCTAGTAATATAGCTATATAGTAAATAAGAATAGGAGTAGGACAAATTATATTAAAAAGTCCATGATTGTCACTACAAACCTCTAAAAAGGTTATCTTGAGTGAATTGGATGGGCGAATAACAACACTCACAACTTCATATCTGCATCAACCAATAACAAGAAGAAAAACATAATAAATACTAAAACTAATAAGAATCACTGGAAAGCATCCGAAAACAAAATTATTTGTCAACACGTTCTGTATTGTTAGTTTGCTTCACGTAAATATAAAAAAGCTTCGAAGATGTAAATTTAAACCATGATGAGGCAAACAAGTTATAAAAAACTTTCAAGAGTAGGGAACTTGTGAAAATAGCATACCCATCAGGAGATGCAAAACGTGCCGCAAAGGTCTTGGGCTTTACCTTATCTCCATAAAGGGACAATCCAGTATTGTAATCCTAGAGTTTAAACATAGAAGCAGCCAATTAGAAAATCGTGAATGAGAGGAAGGCAATAATGTAACAACCCAAAAGCGAACAAGAGTAGGTCAATAATGAGAGAAAGGCAGTAGATTTACATTCACCAAAAACAAAAAAGGCATTAGATTTACCAATTATGAACCTTAAGTATACAGAGAAGTGAAAGCTTCCCTTATGTGTATTCCCAATTAAAATTGATAATGAAGGATAAAACCCCTAACAACTCATGCGATCATTTCTTTCATGGTAGAACATCTTAGCAGACAATTACAACGATAACACGAATATATTTCATTCTATAGCACTAAAATAAGTTTCTAGTCAAACATCTCTCTCTACTCCAAAATTAAGCATAACAAATGGATGCTAAAACGTATCCAACTTGGAACCATTCACTGAGTAATCAAAACATATACTAGAACTTATAAGGAACAAAACAATTTTTACAAAATACATGTGCTTTAAGGTCATGTACCTCAGGCTCCGAAACATCCTGAAACTGAGGAGGGACCCTAATGGCAAACCCATCACCGAAGAACTGGAACCAAGATTTTGTGTTAGCGATGCCGGAAAGGGATGGTCTTGGAGGCGCTGAAGCTTCTGGTGAAGAATGGGCAACTGGGTATTGCTGAGGGGTCAAGGAAATGAGAAAAAGGGAAGTGCTTTTGAGGATGAAGCGTCTTTTGGAGGTGGTGGAGTCGGTGAGAGCGATAGTAGGCTGTGGTGGAGTGAGTTTTGGGGTGGTGGGTTTAGGGCTTTTGGGAGGAATTGGTGGGTGGGGAGGGAGGGAGAGAAGAAGAATGGCCATGAGAGAATGAGGATGGCATTCATGGCTGTTGAAAATTTGGAGGGAGATAATGTGGGGACATGACCTGGGGTTTTTGTATGTCAGGATTGGGGAAGTTGGCTTTAGGTATTTGGATCAATGGAAAGGGTAGTTTTGGTTATTTGAACTAAAATTGGTCAAAAAGTTAGAGGCTTTCCCACTGATGTGGCACAAAAAGTTACACACTCGGCTCATTTCATTTGTAAAGTCCAATTTTCTCCCATCTTTTTATCAAGAATTCAAGAGATATCAACCAAAATAGTGATGTGTTCACCAGGAGCCTTTCAAACAAACAGAGCCTATACGTTATCCACATTCAAATTCAGCCAACCAATCCAAAACAAAAGAAATCCAAACCACCCAAAAAACAGAAGAAAAAAAATATGTAGAGAATCACACTCATTTTTCTTTCTCACTGTTGCGCCATTTCTAAATTCTATTTGCTCACCATGGAAACCATTCTTTCTTCTCCCTCACTCTCACCTCTCTTCAACCCAAAACCTTCTTCTCCTAAGACGCTTTTGTCCCCCTCTCTCCAACCCAATTCAAAGTCCCTCCTCCTCACAAAACCCATCACCTCAAGCCTCAAAAAGCAATCTGTTCCATCACTCAAAACATCTTTGCCAATACCCAAGGACTGGTTCTCTTATGCCCAGCAAGGACTAGCAGCTCTTGCACTGTCTTTAGCACTAAACTTTTGCCCACTCTTGCCTGGTGGCAATGCACTAGCATCTGAGTTTGATGTGCTTAATGAGGGACCACCCAAAGATTCCTATGTTGTTGATGATGCAGGCGTGCTAAGCCGGGTGACTAAGTCGGATATAAAGAGGTTGATGTCGGAATTGGAATATAAGAAGAACTTCCACATCAATTTTGTCACTGTTAGAAAGCTCACTGTAAGTTGTTTCTGTTTTTTTTTATTTTCTAAATATTGTGTTTTGTGAATTTTGAGTTTTGATGATGATATGATTTGGTTGCAGAGCAAAGCTGATGCCTTTGAGTATGCTGACCAAGTTTTGGAGCGCTGGTACCCTTCTGTTGAAGAGGGCAACAATAAGGGCATTGTTGTGCTTGTCACCAGTCAAAAAGAAGGAGCAATCACTGGTGGCCCTGCATTTGTCCAAGCTGTTGGAGAAACTATCCTTGATGCAACTGTATCAGAGAACCTTCCTGGTAACCATGCCTTTACTTTTCAATGTTTTCATTCTTCAAGCAACTTTCTTTTTTTGGGTTGCTACTATTTCTTGTTTCAAGCAATGAATTTTATTGTATATGCCACACACACGTACCGTTTTAGTTTCTAAGACTTCTCAGCTAAGTTGATGAGCTTATTGGATGTGCGATTGCAGTCTTGGCTACAGAAGAAAAGTACAATGAAGCTATTTTCAGCAGTGCCAAACGGCTAGTTGCTGCCATTGATGGGCTTCCAGACCCCGGTGGCCCCAAGCTTAATGAAAACAAACGCGAATCCAATTTCAAAACCAAGGAGGAGACGGACGAAAAGCGTGGACAGTTCTCTCTTGTAGTTGGAGGATTGCTGGTGATTGCCTTTGTTGTTCCTATGGCACAATACTATGCGTATGTCTCAAGGAAGTAAGGGTGGAATTTGCTCAGTTAGATTTGTCTTTCCATTGTTTCCCATAAATTTCGAAACAACATGTATAACATGCAGTTATACAAATGATCATATTAAAATGGTTGTTGAGAGACTTGCAATCAGAGGGGATCCTTGTTCGTGTTGATATTTGTAAAAATTTATAATGGAATTAAGTTGTACCTATGACTAACTTAAGGTGTCTGCATTATTTTACTTTCTATCGAGATTAAGACTTGCATGCTTGAAGGGGAGTTTTTAAACTTAAATATGCTCTTCATTATTAATGAATAAGATTAATTTTCACCAGGAGAACACACTCAGTTTTTACAGTCCTCATCCAATGCCAAATGATGTAATGAAATTGCTGTTCTACTGGCTTCTGTGCACTTCAAATACATTTGTGAGAACATAGGTTTGCAGTTACATTAATGGCTTAGCATTAGAGTTTTCAGGCAAATGTTAATATGTTTAAGAATAACATATTGGGACTTCAGAACTTGAGCTTCAGAAGGAAAGGCATTTTGTCTGAGAAAGGTGGATCAGAATATTTTCCGGTGAGTATCTTTGATGAGACAAACTGATTTGCAGCCTCTGTGTAATGAATTCCATCCCAACTAACATAGTCAGTACTATCACTGCATCCTTTGGCTGTGACAGAGGTTCCATTCAAGGTCTTTGTTTGTCCACAGGTAATCTGACTGTCATAGTTCAACGGCGGACCTCCATACCCACAGCAAGCCATAATAGGTTGTTCAAATCCTGCAGATTATAAATCACAAAAACCAAACATGAGATTATTCAAGCAGAAACGTTGCCAATCAAGATATGAAGAACTTAAATTTGTTGAGATGTGCTAACCATATCGGGAATAATTTGAAATGAGTTCATATTTTATCGAAAAGATATCAACATATACAACATTTGCATCGGCGTATTGGCCTTGCAACTTTTTTGTGAGGGCATGAAGCTGCAGGTTGAAAAGTTTTGTAGCTTCGTTGTGGGAGCTGACACATCCTCGTTCATCAAGCTTTGATGGATCAGTTCCAAACTTGGCAACATTCTGAGTCAAGCATCCGAGAGGACCTGTGTTGTGTATCCAAAAGTTCCTACCCCCTTGATCATATAGTTTCTGAAAAATAGAAAAGAAAGAACCCACAATAAGAAAACAAAGAATGAGAGTTTGGTGTCATTTTTATCCAATACAAGTTTGTGCTCCTGATAATTTAAACTGAAAGTATCAATCAACCTTGTTGTGTTACTGAACTGACCTTTAGTCCTGTTTCAAATTCTGCCAAAATTGTTGGAATTGAAGCAAGAATCTGATCCAATGTTTTAGAGTAAAATGCACCAGCAATATCATTTTGGCCTATATCGAACATGTAAAGCCCCTTCGAAAAGAAATCTTCTGTAGGCAGATACTTGCTAAAGTTCTTACCTAGATAACAAAAAAGAAAGAAATAGTTGGATATCTTGTCTAATATTCATATGTTTCCTTCACTTAAAGATCAAGTCTTAAGAAGATTCAAGAACATACCTTTAGCTAGCAATTCAAGAACCCTGGCTTTGAATCTAAGAAACTGATTGACCTGGATCCCAAATGAAAATGGGCAGATGGATGTTGCAGTTGCTGGAAGTATAGTTGACCCAGCAGCGGCAAAATTGCACCCTTTTTTGAAACTTGGCAAGCCAACTGAATCCAAATAGGCATTTAGAAATGGAAGCTCCATTGCATTCACTGCAAACATTACACTCAAGACATAAGGACATATTCATATGCATGTGTGTGTATTTATATATATATATATGAATTAAATGCAGCAGAACAAAGATTTGAGGAACAAAATTGAAAAATTACTAAGAAAATCAACGATGAGACGGCCATCAGAGTATCTCCCAGATGGGTTTTTGAAATAAATCTGTCCATTAGGAGAGAGAAGGGTTTCAATGCCAGCAGAAACAAGATTGCCAGTGTCAGAATTTGAATCACCGAAGTTGAAAACAGCAGGGTGGTCGAAGTGAATGGATTTGGAAAGAGGTAAAGAGATAGAAATCAAGGTGAGAAATTGGAGAATACAGGTCTTGGTAGCCATGGAGATTGAAAAGTGAAACAGAGGTTAACAACTTCTTTAGGCCTACAGCTTTCACTTGTATATGCAAACAGCAGCAAAATATATACTTTATGAAACCTTTCATGATAAGTTTTGGTTTGGTGAGCAGTGGGGCTCATCTGTAAGTTGTTGGTTTGCTTTCACATCTGGAAACCCAAAGGCCCCAAGACATAAGTGCTCTGATTCTTGGTCAGTTGCAATATATATGATATGAATATATTATAAAAGTATTCATGTATGCCAAGATTTGGATACCATTCTAAATGTATTATATTCAATTATTTAAACATATTGAATATAACATTTTCTAGTATTATTGTTCAATCAAAATCATTTCTTTCAAATGGAAACATTTTTTACATAAAAAGATATGACCACAGGATAATTAGACAAATTATGAGAAGTTTTGATCAGCAAATGTGAGAAGTTTACTGAGAAAATCTGTCATGAGGCGACCATCAGAAAACCTCCCAGATGGAGTTTTGAAGTAAGTCTGTCCATAAGGTGGTGGGAGCTGGAAACCGAGGCCAGCAGCAAGCTCACCAGTGTCAGAGTTTGAATCACCAAAGTTGAAAACGGCAGGGTAGTAGAACTTTGACTTTGAAATAGGTAGAAAAATGGAAAGTAAGGAGAAAATTTGGAGGATGGCATTCTTGGTAGCCATGGATATGAAAGCTTAATCTTCACGGATGCCTTATGTAACAACCACCGAATATCATGTGTCACATGGTGCCAAAGTTTGGAAGTACTTATATGGGGACATGGTGAAAGTTTGCTTTGAGTCTTGGAAAGGCTGAATGAAGCCAAAAAGCAAAGTTTATTTGTTCAATTACTGTTTTACCCTTCTATTGTTGAACACACTCAATGCCCAAGTTTGGCCAAAAGTACATTTACAACTACGAAAGTAGAAACCCTAACAAGTACATAAGACAAAGACAGCGGTAGTTTCCACTGTGTTGAATATTATTTTAATCCCATCTTAGGAATTGTAGGAAAAATCGACCGGGGTCTTTAAGCTAAAACATGAAGCACCATCTTATCCAATTTACTTGTGATACAATCTTAGGATTTTGCTTATAATTTTTTTGATAAAGTGATATTCTAAATTACTTTAATGTATGAAAATGGAGATTGAATTCGAATTTAAAGAGCTAGACACACTATCTTATCCAATTAGTATTACCCGCGTCTACTATGGCTCGCTTATAGTTTTATTATTATTATTTTTTCCAAACTACAAAATATGAGCTCTCTATATAGTTTAATGATTTGAAAATAAAACTACAAAATATGAGCTCTCTATATGCATGGTTTAGTATTTTAATTTTTTTTTTTGGGTGAAAACCAAGGTATCTCCCCCGCGATTGCGGGGACTAACCCTCGAGGTACTGTCGGGCGCAAAGCGGGGACCTCTCCCAACAAAGTCTGCATATTTTAATATTTACATACTTAGAAATAAGTGCATATTTTAAAATTTTATTGCACACATGTTTGTATTCATCCACGATTTAATATTGATTTCCGATAGGGCATGTGATGAGTGAGGATGAGAATGAACTTACTGAGAAAATCTATGAGCAGACGACCATCAGAAAACCTCCCAGATGATGATGGAGGTTTGAAGTAGGTTTGTCCGTAAAGCAGTGGAAGTTGCCAGCCACGCCCAGCAGTCATCTCACCTGTGTCTGAGTTTGAATCACCAAAGTTGAAAACTGCAGGATAGTTGAATTTAATTGACTTTCCGACAGGTAAAAAAATCGCAAGTAAGGTGACAATTATTTGGAGAACGGAATTCTTGGTAGCCATGGATGAAAGCTTAATATCTTCACAGAATCACAAAAGAGAGAGAGAGAGAGAGAGAGAATTAGCTGCAAATTTTATTGATCTATTGAACACTGACAAAAAGTTAAGCAATAAACAAGTATATATAAGTTTACCCTCTATTTATAACAGGTGACCTAACCGCTAATGCATCATCACTTTTTTTGGTAAATCCAGTGTACATCAGGATTCAGGTCACGGAGCCAAGTTTCCTTTTCTTTCTTTTTTTTCCTTTTTTCTTTTTCTAATTTATTTATAAGTTTTCTTACTCAAAGAAAAAAAATTTACTTTGAGTTTTGGAAAGGTTGAGTGATTTCAAAAAAGGAAAGTTTATTTGTTCAATTAACGTTTTACCCTTAATTAGTTGAAGGGAGGTTGAAGGGAAAGTATATCCACAACTAATGTACCTAAAAAATGTACATTAGCAACCATAGATCCCAACAAACACCATCTTATGTTGGCTTAAGCTGTAGCGTCTATTCTGCTCAGTGTATGAAATTTTAAGGGTCATATTCGGGATTGCAGAAAATTACTTCTTAAAGCAGGAAATACACGAAGATGAAGCACCGGAGAGCAAGCAAGGACTTAAAAGTTTCCTTAGACGAATCTTGGCTTTTTTATACGTTTGCATGTCCACACCACACCACACGTCTAACAAAACTTTCCTTTTTTTTTGGGGGGGTTCGATTATAGAAAGTCTGCCAATTAATTTATTTCAGTTTCCTGTCACTCTAGTGATTCAGCGAACGATTTCCACGTAGACCAATATTTAAAGAAGTTGGGTTTCTTTCTTCTAACCAAAAAGAAGAAATGGGCCTTTTTATCCGAAACAGCGCATTTGAAATAGTCAAAGCCCAACTAGACGTAAAACTATCAAAGCCCAAATAGGAGAGTCAAGACCAACCCAGATATCTCCTTTTCCTTAGCCCAAATAGGAGTCAAAGTCAAACACCTCATAGCATTGACCAAACAAAGAAAAAAGCCCCCATGGCCAAAGATCAAAGACACATGGGATATTTGATGTCCTCTACCAAAAAATTTACATAGCTAAGCTAGGACGTGTTAAAAGTCACAAATTTTACTCAGTTTAAGATAAATTCGTGGAACTAGGCCTCGTGTGTGTGTGTGTGCCAAGCTAGAAAGCGTGTAAAGCAACCCACAACAGGAAGCTTAGAAACTCTCTCCAAATAAGGTGGAATTCAAATTCTGGAACAAACTGTACAAAATGGATGTAAGGGCTCTTGCGGTGCTTGAGAATATG